ATGGACCTACAACGAAAATTTCAGATCCCTCCGTGATTTCTGAGTGTGAGAACTTGCAAAATAGAAGGTTGTTCAAATACTTACTTTCCTCACTGTATAATAGAAAACCCTAATGTATATTTTAAGTGCCCATCAAATTCATTCTTAACTCTTCAGATTTTTTCATATTTTTAAGCTTCAAATTTATATTGATTTGATTTGGAGTTTTTGTTGCAGAAGGCATTCCTAAGTGCAGATAGAGTTACAATCCTGCAAAATGCAGATGCGCTTCTTTCGGAGTCAAATTACCTGGTCTGCATGCATCAACACAATGTAGTGCATACCTGTGAAGTGGCCGATAAAGGGCAGGAAGTTGTGTTAAATTTATAGGAGTAGTTTATCCACATAGATTCAACTGTTTGTGAAGAATGCGTTTTTGTTTGTTTTTTAAAGCGGTGATCTTTAGGACCCCCTGACCTGCATAGTTCAGATGTTTCCCTGTTGCCACACAGTTGATTTTAACGAATGGATTATTGACATGTTTTTGCAGAGATTGGTGGTATTCTGATAAGATAATACAATCATCTAAAACAGTGGTGTTTTCAGAAGTTTGCATTAGCTCCTCAGACATACCATCAAGCGAAGCAGAAGCCTGTTAATCACCTATTCTTTAAAGTAATGTGTGTGGCAGCAGGGAGTTATCTAAAATATGCAGGAAAGATAGAACCTAAGGAGTAGAACAGGGTTAAGGTTTACTACAAAACAATTGCAAGCAGATGCAAAAGCCAGTGCTGGACTGGACTGAACTGAATGGAACAGATGGAGGAAAATGACCTGTAGAAGAGAAGTGTGTTTGTGTGTGTTAGGGCTGCAACTAACGATTATTTTAAAAATCGATGAATCGGCCGATTATTTTTTCGATTAATCGATGAATCGGACAAAAAAAAAAATTTTATATTAACCTCTTTATTCCAAAATAAACATTTTAGACAGAACAAACAAGCACACAAGTACAGGTTGCTCATTAACTGTACTGGTGCAATATGAAAAATAAATGTTTGTGTAAAAACTACGCAAACTTACATGAGAAATGTAGCTGTACATCCACAAAATATAGGCTACTTTGGTTCATAAAGCGCAAAAAGAGACAGGCATTTTTGTTTTTTAAAGCCCCTAAGGGGTTCAACAATAGGTCCCCCCATTTCAAGAAATGAGTTTTTTTTAGACTAGAAGAGTTCTGCCTTTTAAGACAGGAAAGTATAGCAGTTAAAGTTGCTGCTTGAGAAAATACTGAACCATAGAGATAAAAATAGCCCTGTGATTCAAATTATAAATTGTATTTGGAATAAAAATGAGAGAACTAGGGGTGGTAAAAAAACACATCCTCCAAAGACGGATATTTACATGGGAATGTGGCAGATAATTAATTGACATATTACTGATCTTGCTGGATTTTGTTCTGCTTTACTTCCATAAATTGCAGGATCTTCTTTTCTTTATCTTTGCCAGAAGATTTAAACTTTAAAAGCCTTGCCCTCATAATTTGCAAGTTAATTTATTTATAAAGAAAATATAAACGCTGCTTAAACAAATGTAAATGAAATTAAAAGTAAAATAAGTAGCCAACCTTATCCCTGTCTGTAACCTACTAACAAGGTAAGGAAAGCATCAGATGAGCTACCTGAGAAACTAACGTTACGTTTCCCCACTTTAAAACCAAACAAACATGGTTACTCATCCTGCTGATCAGCTCTCTTCACTGCCATCGAAGGCTCCAAAGTGTTTTCTTTTCAGGTGCTGCGTCATAACAGTGGTGCTTCCGTGCCATGTTAATTTCTTTTGAAAAAAGTTGCATGTTATCACTTTTTTCACTTTACAAAGCGCAGGCTATTTTAATTATTGTGATCAATTTGCGCCGTCAATCCCGGCGCATGCGCGCTTCATTTGCAGTCTGGACGCTGAGGGTAAACTCCTCACTAAAATCCTGCGGCTCTGACTGCCGCGCTGAGAGGGATTCCTGTGGGAGAGGGAGAAAGGCGTTGGGATGGGGGAGGCGCCCCACGGCAGGCAAAAGCCGCCAGTGACACCGTAAAAAGTCGCCAGATTTGTCGCTAGTCGCTTTTTTGAAAAATAGTCGCTGGAGGGGTCTGAAAAGTCGCTGAGTTGGCAACACCGCAACTGCGGCGCTGACTCGCTCCGCCATATTTTTTTTTCTTCCCCCGGATGACGGCGGCGGCGGATGACGCATTAATCGCGCGACACAACTAATCGATGATTAAATTCGTTGCCAACGCTTTTAAAAGTCGATTTTTATCGATTTTATCGATTCGTTGTTGCAGCCCTAGTGTGTGTGCATGAAGTCGTGCTTCATGCACACACACACGAAGCATCAATTCATGCGCTGTTTTTTGACAGAGGCACCTACTAAAACAATGACACAAAACAGGCCAGAAGTTCATTGTTTAAAATATTAAGTGAACTAAATGGCTATTTACTGCTCTGGAAACCTCAGATACAGAAAATTCTGTGATCATATCTTATTATGCCTGAAGCTAAAAATGTAACAACCTATTTTTTACAACATCCTGAACAATAAACCTGAAAAGATAAAAAAAAAAAAGATCAAAATAGTTTCCGATTGCTGTGTCAGCACATATCATTAATTTATCATAAATGTATCTGCCATTATGTCAGGGGCCATGACCATTTCTACTGGGACACTGGCCCCTGTTGGCCCCTGTCTAGAAACGCCTAAGTTGCTTAATATGAACGCATCCACGCCACATGTGGAAAACATAATCAGACTTTCCTTCTCAGTGTGTGGTCATGCTTTATTAGCCTTCCACACCACTGGTTGAGATAACAGGCTGTTGGAATGCTTTATTCCTCCTGATACACACACGTCATTAGCTGTGCTTTGAAAGCACACAGTGCACTTTAAGATGCTGACCCATGTTTTGGAAAACTGCCGCTCACCACCTGTACAGCCCTAATGAATCTAAACAAGGCGTCCTGTGCGTGTATGTGGGAGACGTATTACTGCTGCCGCTAAAAGTGAAGGGAGGTTGGGATTGTCTGTTGTGAATTAAACCAATAAATGCATCATAAGCAAATGGAATCACCCTGAACCCTCTGTGCAGTATCAAGGTAATGAACAGCACAGTAATAGCTTTGCTAAGATTCAGTGTTAAATTATGGTTAGGATTTAGGTAAAAGCATTGTAATAAATGGTGATGTCACATCTGGGCTAGAAGATGATGTGTAACATGCTCTCATACCGCAATAATTCAGCAGGCTCACAAATCATTCACTAGCTTTTGGAATGACACCCCTCTGGAAATAGTCTGGCTGAGACTGTGTCCATGAAGCAGCTGCTAATCGTTTAGAGGAAATGACATCAGTTTTAAGTGAACCAAAGAAATATAAAAAAAGAATAACCTGTTGGTGACTCAGTTTTCAGTTCTGTAAAGATATTGTGCATTATTTAGTGATTATGAAACCTACTTTGCACATTTTTGTCATTCATATGCAGTAAGTCAATTAGCAGACTGTAAAAGAGTCTGCAGCCTCCTCCCTAAAGCATGCAGGACTCTGTGTGGGAGTTGTCTGCAACAATGCTCCTCTCCCCTACACTAGCACTGCAACGCCAAATGCATCAATACATCCCATATATCTGGGTGTTTCCATAAATAGCTGCCAATAGGGAAATTTATATTTGCATGACTCAAAGGACACAACTAAAGGAATGTGAATCAGTGATTTGTGATTTAGTTTTGGATGCATGTGTTAAACTTCTCTAGTTTTGACATAAAGGAAAGCAGGTGCAGAAAAATCCAACATTGACTTGTTGACTCCATGTGGGCCTTCAGACATCTTTCTAATACAAATGTGGATATTAGATGGCCGTATTCCCCCCCAATAGCTACTGCACCCCTGGAAGGAGAAAAGTGGAAAACTTAAATTCTTCCTTTGATATGCACACCTTTCAACTGCTTCACTTTATGACATGTTGGAAACTCAAACTTTATTCAGTCTCTTTGGGTTTTTTATTGTGAAAAAAAAAATGGACAATGGTAATTTTATTTTTATTTATTTATTTTGTTATACCAGTTCTCTGTGATAAGATTGTTTTTAGAAGTCTGTTTTTGCACTGATTAGAAGAGTGCAACTTGAATCCTGCAGGATTCAGTTAAAATATGAATAAAGGTATGCTTTTCAATGCAAAAAAACTTTAAAAAGATGAGCTATATGTAAGAAAACTTACAGTAATGCACTTTTTTATTTGTGTCCATTTCTACAACAATTGTAGCTTTCTTCAACTGTTTTCTTGCTTCAGAATCTTTAACTTTATAAAAAAAAAAAAAAAAAAAGGAATTAGATTTATTTCCATTTTTTCATGTACTCCTATTACCTATAAATTAAGCCTCAGTATTTGGGTGCAAAATCTGCTGAATATTTATTTTATTTTTTTTTTTATATCCGTTGACTTAAGTAATTGTCAGAATAATCAATAAAATAGTTTATTACTAAAGTAATCATGTTACAGCCATAGATTTGTCTCTTACAAGGTGTATGATGAACTGTAAATAAGATTTCTTGTGACTTTCTGTCTTTCTTCTGCACGCCCTTCAGCAAAGGCCAGATTTGTTGAGAGCATAACTAATAGAAGGACCATCCATGTCTAAGTAGGTTTGGAGGCGTACCATACTGTTTCAGTTTTCCCACTCACGGACTGAACTTTCCTCCATGAAATATCTCTAATGTTTGTGGACCTTCACTGAACTGCTGCTTTTATGCTGATCTGAAATTATGCAAAAAACTTAGTAACTATGAATCCTGTTTCTTCCATATCACAGTTATGCAGTACTTTGGTACAGTCTGTTACATTTTAATACAAATGAAATCCACAGAAGTGAGTGGGCTTGAAATGAATAAATGTTAGTTGGTGTGAATTTATTCTGTGGTTTATCCAGACACATGGGTTTAAACAGACACTTTGCATTGTTTTTTTTTCTGTGCAGGTGGATGGAGGCCTGCTTAGAGGAGGACTTGCCCGCCACTACAGAACTGGAGGATGGACTTCGGAATGGTGTTTATCTTGGAAAACTTGCCAATTTTTTTGCCCCTAAACTGGTGCCTGCAAAGAAGATCTATGACAGAGATCAGGCTCGTTATAAGGTATTTATTTTTATCTGCTTCCGTTAATCTGCTTCATCTAATCAGATTAAAGATTGCTTTGTGGTTAATGAACGGTTTTATACTTCCTGACAGTTATGAACAGATTCAGGATTCAGCCAAACTGAAACATGCAGCTGTTGTCTTGAAAGCTTTACAAGAAAGCTTTTCTTTAAAGTGCACATCAAGTATAAAATAGTCTAACACAGCATCAACCACGGGGTTTAACTGTCAAACCAACTCTCATTGTTTTCATTTCTTATACTTTGGGTTATTTTTGTAACTGCTTTCTTTCTAGTCCCTCACCATTACTGCTGTGCTTGTCCGCAGAGCAAAGGGCTGCATTTTAGACACACTGACAACACTGTGCAGTGGCTTAGGGCCATGGAGTCAGTGGGCCTTCCTAAGGTAAGTCCCCGGTCCCTTTTTAACAAGTGATTATGGGAAAATAGGCATTCATGCAGATCAGTCTCTTTCTATTCTGGCCAAAGGGTGTGCTTAGTTTCTATCTGTAAAACACTTTTTAAACAATGAAGAATAAAGGCATACCTGTTGCCTTGTTTACAGAATAAACCATCCTCTTTAACTTTTTGTGTGACAATACATAATCCATATTTATAATTATAGGTAGAGTTTGACCAAAGCCTCTGAAAAATAATGGTCTTGACCCTCTGGTCTGTTCAGTTTATTATTTCAATAGATAGAAAATATAGCAGAAAACTAAAAACCTGTCATATTGTAGATATTTTCTCTATTGTCTGACCTCAGAGACAACTAAACTCTCTCTATCCATCCACCCATTGGGCTGTTGCACATCTGCAGCAGTCATTGGTCACCAGAGACAAAGAACCGTGCACAGCCATGCTTTTATTTTGAAACTGTAGCAGAACTGTAAATCTGAATACCTTGTGCAGGCCGAGGTATTCTCTCACTTAGTACCCAGTAAAACAACCTGACTAACAGGTATTTAAATGTAAAATGTTTTGACAAATTAGATGGTTTAAGGCAGTAATAATGTTATGAACGTATGAGGATGATGCATATGAAAGAGGGTTTGGGAAAAGAAAACATCAAGAAATAATTTGTATGAAGTAAAATGATTTGATTAAAACAAATGTAAAACCTTAATTTCTAAGTCAAATTTTTTCCTGATTATTTTAATAAAACAGTTTTATTTCTGTGTGTCTTCATTTTTTTTTTCACATTATAGGGTGGATAAATGGTGATCTTTTTTGAAATATCCCTGTCTGATTGGTAAATAAGAAAAAGCTGATGATGGAAAAATTATGACAAATGAAATCACAATCCCAAAACACTTGTAGTGCTTTTTTTTCTAATTCTATGTTTTGCTAAAATATGTGTCCATCCAGGCTTGGGGGAAAAAAAAAGAAGTCTTGTAGTTATGAGCAAGTTTTTCAAGACCTAAATGCTTCATCAGACATGAATGCTCCTTTTTTTTTTTTTTTGTTAATACTGAAAAACTTAAAAGCTAAACGATTCAATTTGCTTACCGATAAGTATATAAAATGTGATGCTCCTTTTTGAATCTGATTCACTTTTTGAAAATAAAGTTGGAAGGAGATGTAGTATCTTTAGTAGAACAGTAATAAGCAGTTTATTTTATCAGTGAGATTCACCGTTGTATCTGTATCTTTAGAAAGATTTTCAGTCAGATATTATAAAGCATATTTAGGTTTTTTATTTAGGATTTTATTTTTGGACATATGTCTCTTGTTTTTTTGTTTTTATCAGTGGAATATTTTTTTGGACTGCTTTTACAGAACATAAGTGCTAAAGAGAAAAATAGCATAATAACTTTGCTTTCCTATTTCAGATATTTTATCCAGAAACCACTGATGTGTATGACCGCAAAAACATGCCCAGGGTGGTGTACTGCATACATGCACTAAGGTAAGTCTGACATTGCTCTGAAATGTAGGGTTTTTTTAAATTTTGATAGATTTTTCTGTTCTTACACTGGTGGAAAAAAGAGATACTGAATCGATTAAAATACAAAGGGGAACATTGATATGAAAAAATCGATTTATATCTTAATAATTCATTAGTATTTGAAAAAAAAAAATATTTGTTTTGCCTTCAATGGCACACTGATGATAAAAGATGATCTACTTTTTACCTGAGTAATTATTGTGAGGAGTCATTAATATTTATTTTCTGTACAATTCTGTACAATTCTGGCCCATTTTGCAAACAGACCAAACCCAATTAGGAAAACACTTCTCAGAAGGGGCTCACTGGGGGGTGTCGATACAGATCTGACTGTACTGCTTCAACCATGATATTTGCTTTGATCACAGCAAAGAAGATTTAAGATGGTGTTTATAAATAATGAATTATTTCTCAATTTTGCTAAAACACCCTTTGGAACTTTTTAAGTTAAGAAAGGGATGTGAAACAAAAACAAAAGCTGAAGAATTTATATTTCTGTTCTGAGAAGGTAGAGGGAGCTCTTTCTATTCAACAAACCTTTTATAATTAGTGGGAAATGTATGACTCATATTTGACACCATATGTAAATGGAGACATTTGGTAATCTGTTTCATATCCTGATTATTTTTAAACGAAACATAGTGTTACTTTTTGAGGGTTAGGTCATTTCAAGTTCCTTAATTTTGTATACATTAAAACCTGTAGAGTTTAATCTTAGCTACTGTTCTTGTAGTGTCATTATTTATTTTCAGTTTTGGTTGAGGGATTAAAATTAAACCTGTACTTTAAAAAAAAATAAATAAATAAAAATAGAAAGAAATACCTAAATAAATATATATTTTTTTCCGACATAAACTATTAGATTTTGAGTGGGAGGGCAATGATTACAGTAAGATATCCATATTTGTCACTAATATAGGGAGTGGTTTTGTTAGCTTGCTGGTTGTTTTCTGCCTTGTAGTTTTTCTGGTCAGGTCCTGAGAGGATTGGTTTCCTTCCCTTCATATTCACACACGTGCACTTCCTTCCTGCTGTTAGTCCAACTAACGTCCCACCAGTCGGAATGACAAAGCAAAGCAGGAGGAATCCCACACGTGGACTGTGGTTCAAACCTGAAGTGAAACTAAGTTTCACCTGGGAAGCGTTTCGCCTTTTGAAGCACTACTTAATAAGTTAATGGAAAAGGCTAAATAGAAAATGTATTTTCATTGTCTGGAGGGAGCTTGTCATTCACAGCCATTTCAGGTAATTGTTTCTAACCTCTGCTGTTTGTGTGGAGGCTGCCCTCATTACCTTCAGTCAGCTGTTCCGATCCATATCTGTGTCTGAATCAGCTGCAAGTGTGTCAAAACCTGCCTCTTTGTGTAAGCAAAGTTTAAATTGGTGGTCGAAGCCCCCTGTGTCCCAAGGACAGAGTGCAGTGAATGTTTGCTCACACACACAGTGATCAAAGGGCAGGACAGCCACTAAATGAACGACAACTTTCATGTTTAGAGCTGTCCTGATGCCAGACCTCCATAGATATCTATAATTCATCACTTCTTATCAGGTGCCTGAGAGTGGATGAAATTTTAATGGAGTTTCCACTCACCTGCATGTTGATTTCATGGCTTTGTTTGGAGTCTGCTGGCTGTTTTCAGGTATTGCACTGTGTAATATGAGCCACTACTGCCATCCAGTGGTGAAAGACGGATGGGTTTCGGTAGCAACTAGCTGAAAGAAAAATAAACATTTCTCTGCTATTTTTTGTTATTTGAAACTATACTTTTAACCCTAACTTTTAATGCCTGTTATTATTTGTCTCAGCTTATATTTGTACAAACTGGGGATTGCGCCACAGATCCAGGACCTGCTGGGGAAAGTCGACTTTACAGGTAAAAACTGTAGAAACTGGGTTCTGCTGAAAGCAAGCCTTAGAAAACGTTAAAAAGAAAAAATGAATAATAAACTATTACTACTTCCCTGAAGGTCAGAAGCTGCATTTGGCTGTTTTACATTTTAATGTGTATACACGCATCATAACATTAGGGCATGCACATCTTTGAATGTTTATATTGGGAAATATTTGGAGTGAAATAAATCTAAATCGTGAGGACTTTAAAGCATCGTTGTTTTAAACTTATTTAAACAGCTTGTTACTGTTTACTGCAAGTTAAGGATTTTTTTTTCTCATTTTGAATTAGTTTCCTTCTCTGAACATTTATTGTAAACGTTCTTAAGTTCCCTTCACATCTATTTCTAAAGTGTTTATCTTGTCTCTGTGTAGCAAACAATTATCAACAATAATATGTATATAACTGTTTGATAACTTGTGGCCACAAACAGTAAAACCACCTATTAATTATCTAAGTATATATTGTTGCTGAAAGAATTGCTAAATGTAAAAGTGATCCTCAGAATGTGAAAAGTATTTGTTCTTCTAAAGATGGCATGAAATATGTTAGCATCTGTTGTGTGAAGGAATATTTACAGTACAGTTAACCTCATGCTTAAGAGAATAATAGGTGACAGCAAGGCCACTGTAGCTCAATAACCCCTTATTATATCTGCTGGAATTAGAGTATTAGAGTATTTGGATCACAGTTCAGGAAAGATTTCAGGCTGTTTGGTTAATCTAATATTTAAAGCAGTTCTGGAAGCAGAAAAAGGTGCCTAAGCTGGTTCTAGCACATTTTACCTTGCAAGGTAATAAACACTTTCCACATCTATGGGTACTGATCAGGGTTTTAATTTAGATCTTGAACTTTAATTCACAGACACTCTTAGGAAATAAATAACAGATCCTTATTTCCTTGATAATCCATAGTACTCCAGTACAACAGTTAAAAGAAAATGAAATGACCCTACAAAGTTAACATTGACCTTATCGTGCTATACAGTTCATTTTGATTTTCTGTTCTCCAGAGGAGGAGATCAGTAACATGAGGAGGGAACTGGAGAAGTATGGGATTCAGATGCCAGCTTTCAGTAAAATCGGAGGCATCCTGACCAATGAGCTCTCTGTGGATGAAGCCGCTTGTGAGTTCTGATGTTTGGGGAGGATTAAATTGGATAATCAACAGCCTTTTTTTCTGGCACTAACCAGCTTATATCCACATCTGTTGTAGTACACGCTGCAGTAATCGCCATCAATGAGGCAGTTGAAAGAGGCCAGGCTTCTGTGACAATGGGAGCCTTGAAAAATCCTAATGCAATGTTGAGAAACATGCAGGAAATTCTGGCCCAAGACTACCAGGATACACTGAGGAAGGCTAAGGCTCGGAAGAGGGACCAGTCATCAGGAAGGGTGAGAAGACTAAACCTGTAGCTCCTTTGCATTTTTAGAATTGATGAATTGTATGTTGCGGCAAAAGGATGTTAATATTTAGGAAGAAACTTGAAAAATAGGCCTGTCTGGGGACTTAACAGACAGTTTTTGTGAATGCTTTTGTACGACATATCTGTAGCTGTGATCTGCTGCTGTTATAGTAGAAACAGATTTCCTCCAGAGACCCCCCCCTTCCCCACACACACAAACAAGTGTTAACCTTTGCAACTAATTACAGGAATTTATAAAGAAGTGGAACATTACTGATCCCTTGTTGCTTTACTTTGAATTGACAACATTGCTTGATACCAGATGACAAGGTCTGTGGCCAACCCGTCAGTTTTTTATCCTAAAGTAATTAAGTCTTAAAACAGACTAAAAAATAAAGGTAATATTTATTTAATTCGAACAAATGGGTCACTTTTAATTAAGACTTAACTAAAGTAGTTTTTCACTCCCCACTCTCTGCAAGCACATTCCAGTCATTGCATGGTCAGCTGTATTTCCCAGACTTTAGACGTCCTCTCTTACTCCCTTGTCTCTCCTCCCACACTCTTTGTAAATATTGTGAAAACAGTAACTTTCCCCTTTCTTCCCATCTGAAAAATGTAAACCAATGCAACAACACAACAACTATGAAATATGAAACAACTATATTGTGAATGTTAATCAGAATACATGTGTATTTTTGTTTTGTAGCGATCATCGGTTGCTACAGAAGAAAGGGATGTTTATGAGGAGCTACTGACTCAGCAGGAAATCCAGAGCTGCATTGATCAAGTCAACAGTGAGGATGAGCACACATGACGAGCTCATGATCTTTTCTCCCTAAGCACTCATTACTCTTATTTATTTATTTTTTTCTATTTAAATGCTAGAAAGTTGTATTAGATGATCCTGTGTTCTGCATAAGTAAGTTGAGCATCACTAAGTGTTGTCTTCAGCCCAGGCAGCAGTACGGAAAGTGAATGAAGCCGTGTTGGTCCAAGACAAAGCTGCTTTGCTGGCTGCTCTCAGACTTGAAGATCTGTCACTGCTTGGTGTCCAGGAGGCAAATGGTTCCTGGTACCTGGAACATTTTACAACCTACATCCAACAAAAATCAAAGGTACAATACCTCTGGGATCCTTTAATCAAATGGCTGCACTTTGAACTTTCTGAAATCAGAAACCCTGAGGTTTTATTTCGGACCAAGACTAGGAAATTAAATCTAAAAATTCAATGCCCAACTCCACCCTGATACTGACCTGATGGTGCGCTCCTCTCCCCTTCCCTCTGACCTGAAATGGCAGACAGAGAGCAGGGGTGTGAAAGAACCCCAAATCTGCAGTACTTATGCCTACTAAAATCTGATGCTGATTCGTGTAGTTATAGGGTATTTAAACAGGAGGGAGGTGTGAGGTGGCACCAGCATGGTGGGTGGGTGCAGGCAGAAGAGCTGAAACTGTTTGAATAAACCCCCATCTAGATGCCAAGATGTGTTCCCACCATCAGTCATTAGAATGCCGAATAAACCCTTTTTGAAAGTTAATGAAACATTTGTTGGACTTAAACTCTTGCTGAGGTACAAACCTTGAACTAGCCTAACAAATGCTGAAAGATTTATGTTTATTGTTGTGTTGTTTGGACCCACAGGATGGAGGGAGGTCGGTGGTGCTGGACAAAGAGGAGATCCACAGAATTGTCAGCTCCTGTAATGATTTTGCTGAGGCAGAGAAACGAAGTGAGTCCAGTTTTTAATCCAAATAAGACGCCTTCTTAATTACTCCACTCACAGGGATCTTTTACTGAGTTTCACTCTATCCACTATAGTCAGAAGATTTTTTTAAGGTGTATTAAAATACCTAAATGTTTTCCATTCTATTTTCTTTATCAGATTTAATGTTCAGCACTATTGGGACTAACTTATTATTAAGTAACGCGTTACAGTACCTATGTTACTTTCTAGTAACTAGCCCTGTAACTAATTAGTTTGGAAAAGTCAGTCATTACTATGTATTAAAGAGATTTATTTATTACTTACTGTGTATGAATAAGTACTACAGCATCCTGGTGGAAGCACACGTGTAACAATGTGCACTTGTAGGTGCACGTGGTGCACACAACTATGCTTAACTTCATAATGAACACAGAGGAGAGACGATGGTGCAGAGCCACTGATTCAGTGACGGCATTCCTACAAAAAAAGTGCTCACTGAAGGCGTCATATTGATGTGATTTGCTCGTAATGTGCAGAAACAAAGACTTTATTGTTGATCAGGAGCTGGAATTTCAAGAAGCTCCTCACATCATCATAACATTGACTGACAGCAGCTGCCTTTATTCAACACTTGGTTTTTACCATCTCAGGGCTATAAGGATTTTACCTCCATGGTTTACGTTTTCTAATGCTAAAGTCCTGAGACATACAGTATTGCTAGTTTTTTTTTTTCTGGATTAGTGTAACTGCTGTTTAATTCTATTGTGATGTATGTATTTTAATTTAAATTGCTTTTGAGTTTCATAGCTATTTTATAGACAATTGAAGGCTGTAAATGTGCAAAAAAATATATTGATGCCAAAACATAATTTTTGTATTGTTATACACAAGAAACATTATCACATCTACATAATCATATTCAACTCACTTATGAAATCACCAAGATGGTGCAGATTTTCGATGTTGTTGTGTGGACCGTTAAATTAATTACTTAGTTTATTAATTAATAAACTAACACCTTACATTCCATAATTCAACCACCAGTTGTATTTAAAATTCCAATAACAGGAGGGTTTTCCAAATTCTTCGACATCAGATCATATAGTAACTTCATAGTTACTTTGGCAAGTAACTACTTACTTTCACTAACAGTTTAACTAGTAACAATAACTAGTTACCTCTTTTAAGTAACTTGCTCAACACTGATGTTAAGACAATAAGACGGGGGTCCAAGTCATTTTATTTGGAAGATAACATTTGTACTGTAACTGTTTTATGACCAGAACTTGAGGCAGTTGCACGGATCAACACATCCATTCGTCTGGGAAACGCTGCAGAGACGGTGGAGGAGCTGCTGAATCCTGAGGCTCAGCTGCCAATTGTCTACCAAAATGCTGCCAACCTGTATCAAGCTGAGCTGTTCAGTTTGCAGCTTCAAGGAGGACGGGTAAGACTACCAGCTTAGCTTTACAGCTCTATAGACACAAATCTGCTCAAATTACCTTAAAGCAACAAATGTTTGTCATGTTATGATGTATTGCTCAGTGTATTTAAAACATATTCTACTGGTTTTGATTCATTACTTGATGTTTAATAGTCAGGACTGAGCCATGAGGAGCTCAGCGTAGCTGTGGAGATGCTGTCGGCTGTCGCCGTTCTGAACGAAGTGCTGGACACGAAAGACACACAAGCTGTTATTGAACAGCTAACGGACTCTCCTCTGGGTTTTACAAACATAGAGCATGACAGCCTCAACAGGTAAACTTTAAGAAGCTAACTTAATGAGGGAAATTATTAGTACATTTATTAGGTTCTTCAATAACAACAGTCGGACCAGTGTCACAGCACAGGTCTGTGCTGCTGTTATTTTGGAGAACAGTAGAAAGTTGCAAACCTCATGGTATGATGTCAGGCTTCCCACACAGACTGGAACTGTGTTGAATTTGAGTCGTTAATAAAGTAAAGAATATTGTATATATGGAAATATAAAGACAAGACGAGGGGAAAAAAACAAAACAAAACAAAAAAACATTTGTCCATATTCTGCCCAACCACCTGCCACAAACAAGAAAGGAAAAACAACTGATAAATCTTTGACTTGGATTTTTTTTAAAGTAGGGAATTCTGTTGAATGTTTAGGAGCCTTCTAAAGCTTACATTTTTTTTATGAATATGATTCAGGATTTTTTTTGAACTCTTTATAATCCTTTTTTAGGTATGCTGACATGCTTATTGAAGAGCGAGCTGAAACTCTTTCCAAGAGCCAAGAGTTTCTCACTTGGAACGATGTTCAGAAATGTATTGACATGGTCAACGTTCAGGTCCAAGAGGAGCACGAACGTAAGAAACTTTGTTTCTGGTCCACAAAATCGCAGCTTTCTTTCGCCTTTTGTTAAAAATAACCTCTCAGTGTTAAAAAATTTTTTAAATACCGAAGGTTCAATGCAGCAGATGCAGGAAGAGGCTTCAAATAAAAATGATTAAATCATAGATGTAATTTAATTTCGACTGAGTTGTTGTTTTTTTTTGTCAATCTGCAGGTATCATAGCTATTGCAGAGATCAATGAGGCCCTAAACTCAGGAGATCACCAGCAGACCCTCGCTGCTCTGCTCCTCCCTACAGCCAAGCTGACGGGAGTAAACCCAGCCATAGCAAAGCACTACCATGACACACTTCATCACATCAAACAGCTTCTCTGCCAGGTTTGTCACAATCATCATCATCAATATATATTTTTATTTTTTTTGTAATTTTTTTGGAAAAATACATTTAAAGTGTCCATGAAATCATTTTTTTAAGCTTAAATCATTGCTCATTGTTTTAAAACAGTTTTTACTGTTTTTGAAATTGTTTTATTAATACAGTAGGTTGTATACATCCACATTTTTTATTCACCTATTATTGAAAACACATTTTTACAAAAGAATGGATCTAGAAAGTATAGAAGTGCATGTTTGTTCAGGCCAAATAATATTAGTCCAAGTGAAAACTTTGACAAAAATGCTGATTAATGCAGGATTGTTGGTTACCAGCTCTATTCCAGTTAAAATAGTGTCTCCACTGCACAAACCTTGTCAGAACCCCTGGTAGCGTTAAGGGGTAGTTTTCCACTTCAGGAATCAGAGTCGAATTAAACCGAGAAAATAATCCTGGAATCGATGTAGAACCTTGGATTATTAATTTAATAACCCTCTGGGATCATTAAAGTATTTTTTGCAGCAGGTATTCTAAACTTTGTCTTACTGGATGAATATCAGCCATCCTCCAGTGTGTATTGCCCTGCAGGTCATGTTTTCTGTTTACTTAAACACAGTATTTACACTCAGCTACCGGTGCTTAAAATCAAAGTCTTACAGAGTTGGTAATCGATTAGATTACCAGTCTCACAACCTTGGTGGAAATGCTTAAATTCTACTTAAAGAATCTCCAAGGAAAGGAAAGTGAATTTTAAGAGTTTAACCAGTAAATTTTGAACAGCGTAGGGCATTCATATGCTGGGATTCATTGTTTAATGCTTTCACATCTACCAGGATTGATTATCTCATTTCATGTTGAACGGGGCAGATTTGTGCATATATGAAGGCTGGAATTGCCATTTTATTGTTTAGGAGACAACAAACACAGATATCTCATGAGCAATTTTTTGGGAGATGCCAAAGATGTGGACACTTTCTCTGTTCTCTTCTTTCCCTCTTGAGTCCTAACTCTGTCTCCCACCTCATGGAGCTCAGTGACTTCAATGTTTGGCCCTTCTATTCAGCTTTAACCTCCCCAACAACTTAATTTCAGAGGGTTAAGTATTGGCAGAAATGTTCGCTCAAATTTGTCTTTGATTAACGTAGCATCACTTAGTAGTCTGACACAAGATTGGCATATCAAACATATAAAATATTGATATTATTGTGTCTATTTTAATCCAATTTGTGGTTTTCTCTATTGTTGTAAATGTTTTTAGTACATTTCCTGTCATTGAGTTTCCAAGGTGTTCATAAGCCTATCAGATAAACTCACGAACATCATCAAAATATTTAAAACCCAGAAGCCTCCCCTTTCTTCTCTTTTGTGCTGCAATAGTCAAAGATATAGTCTCTTTTTTTTTCCGTCTAGTGCATAAATGTTCAGTCTCATACTGCAGGCATTTCAAAGTCTCCTGTTAAAGGGGATAAATTGTAGCTCAGAGTCGGCTGCTGTGGAAAGGAGCATGCAGAGGAAAGGATCCAGGCAACTGTGGAAACAGCAGAGACAAACCGCTAATCTATAGTATCCATACAGTGTGTCATCGCCACTATGAAACAGGCGAATGTAGTGGGCTGTATGCAGGATACAACTGGGGAGAAAACACACCACGAAGTTGATAAAAACCAGAGTGCTCACTCTGATGAACAATTTCCAGTCACAGGAACTTTGTTCCAGGTGATAAACCACGGCCATGTGGGTGTAAATACAAACCATGCAGGGTAGCAGGAAGCCCAGAAAAACTAGCACCAGCCTGAACGGCACCAGCAGAGAATGAGAAGGTTCATCTAGTGGAAGTACATCATGGCATGTTGTGATGTCTAGCTTTGTGATATGGAAGCTCTGCCTGACCAGGAGCTCAGGAACAATAGCGGCTCCATAGAGAAACCACACGACCAGGCACATCCACACCGCCAGGCTGGTTTTAGCCAGCCGTCTGTAAAGAAACGGCTTGACCACAGCCAGGTAGCGCTTCAAGCTGATGCAGGCTATAGTCTGAGCAGAGCAGTAAACATTTCCATGAAATAAAGCCGTGATAAGTCTGCAAGAGATTTCACCAAATACCCAGTCGTTTGCGTTTAGGTGGTAGTGAACGCGTAGAGCAAGAGACAGCACCAGGAGCAGGTCCGACAGCGCCAGGTTCAAGTAAAGAACGACAGTGGAGATGGTCTTTGAAGTGAGTCTGACTCTGAGGAAAGCCAGAATGTAGGTGTTGGAGGGGATGCCCACCAGGATGGTTAGGATGTATGATAAAGGTATAACCCAAGTGCTGAGGACCCCTGTGGTATAAACCGTCACTGGGCCCTCAGGGTCCACATCCAGGTGAGGGTCAGTGTTTGCATGGAAAGGGTCAGGCAGCTGGACTGTGTAATTAGATTTATTTAAGGAACCCCTCATACTTTTTGGTGGAGCAGTCTTTGTTCCATTTCCTGTAAAAACAAATAAAAATACAATGAAATAATAAATAGAAAGGAAAAAAAGAAATGAGTAAATAAAAAGAATACAATTGATTTATTATTCATTTGTTAAAAGCATCTAAAATTTCAAAGAGTTTTTTTTCTACTCATCATTCTGTTAGTTTTTTAATTCAATAGCTTAGATAATTGAAGTAAAGCCAAAAATTATTTAGATTTCCACACCTAGCAGATTTAGATGCAACTTTATTTTTTTAAAGTTTATTTTCAGATTGGAAATATGAAAAGAATCGTTCAAAAGGTTCTTGGACCATGTTAAATTAATGTTAATTTCTCAAAAAGATATATACATGCTTACATTTTCTTTAAAAACCGAAAACCCATTATCTATAGCCTCTCAAATAATTACTACAATAACTTAAAACTGAATGCTTAAAGCACAGTTTAGTTTGCAGCTGTAGTTAAGCTGTTATGAATTCAAGCTGTTTGCGAGTGTTGTTGTGATTAATTTTTTTCTTGTGAGGAGTCTTTGAAGTTGGAAGGTCTCTTATCCATTACTCTAATTTTCAATTGGTTCCACTGGCCTTGTCTAAAAAAAATTACTTACAGTATGTATCCAATCTTTAGTAACTCGGTTTAACATCGATGGCATCAAAATAAAACTACCAGAGGTTTAACAAGAATTTTTCCATGATTTTCTTCCCTTTGTGAAAACTTTTTGTAGTCCTTTAGGGAACAATAACTTTTAATCAACTTACCAAGCTGACTAGTCTGTGCTGCCATTAAACAAAATATAAGTCCTCTCAGAAAGTTAGCCATGTCCCTTTCAGGCTGATTTCCCAGGTTCCCCAAAGCGTCCGTTTTCAGTCCTCTTGGTCGTAGGCCTCTGCAGCAGCTCCCCACTGGTGAGATTTGTCCTTTTGCATCTCTGCAGCGTAAATAGCGGCGTTGGTGGTTGTTTTTTGCCCGAGCTCTTGGTTTGTAAATGTGGGATCCTTGTCTGTGTGTGGAGCTGTGATCCAGTTTCCTGCTCAGGCTTGAACACTGAATTCCCTTCTGCCTGAGTCAGTAATTCCCCTTTGACTCACTGCGGAGAGGAGGGGCTGTGCACTGGTCCATCAGCATCCGGGACATGTAAACAAACGCTTTTTTATTTTTATTAGCTTTTTCTTAGTTTTGTTCATTACAAGATATTTTCTTCTTTTTTACCTTTAAAAATGGTTGTATGCTGTAGCTTGATTGATAATAAAATTATGTTTTTGTGTTTTTTTTTTTTTTTTGTCATCTAAAAGCGAGATTTAACAATTTCCAGTTAGATTAGATGTAGCACTCAATGCAAACTGATGAATTAAATGAGCTTTTACTGATCTCTATCTCTTAGCTTTTCTGTTAAAGTTGAGCCTTTTCATTTCAGATAAACAAACCACATCTGTTAGATGTCTCAGTGTTTAGCTGCACTGACTTCCTTTCCTGGGATTGTGCACTCATGAATGACCCTGGACTTCTGCAGGGGTCTCTAAATTTAGCCTAAAAGGAAGTCCAGCCATCAAGCTGTTTAAACAGAGTTTGTAGTTATTGTGATGTTTGCCAGTTAGGACCAACAAGTTTTTTTTGGCTGCTGTTTTTCTCTCTTCTGATGTCCCCTTTCTGGAATGTTTGTTGGGTGTAATGTCACCACCTTATGCACATAATTTAGGCTGTGGTTTAAACCTACTGTATACCGTTCTGTTCAAAACTTTTTATCACTATTTTTTTTTTTATTCTGACCTGACATATTGATTTTAAGCAAATTTCTCTTTAAGAATTATGATAAAAAAAACAATGTTTTTCATTGAATGGTCATAGATCACTTATATTAGGTGAAGTGACATCAGTTTGGACAATCATTAGGAAAAACAGATTTGCTGATGTTGTAAAATCAAACAATTTTACTTCATTAACATTAAAGGTAATCTTTAGCATCTTATACTGGTAAGAGTTTAAAACAGGCTTTCAGCATTTCCAGATCCAGATGTGCCATAATGATAGGCACTGGTTTGAAGTTTTATACTAAACAGCTTTGTTGTACTTCGTATAGGTTTCTTGTTATCCATTTAATATTGCGCTGTCTTATTTTCTGAACGAAACAGAAGCATTTCTCAAAATGTAAGAGGAAATAGTTTCTTTTTAAATACATTGTTTTTTTTTACTTTACCTTAAGCAGACTTACTGATGATTACTCTTACCATGTTGCTCTGAGCACAACCAGTTATTTTTCAGATGGTGTGTTCAATTGATGAAAAAGAAAAAAGTCCAGCCAGTTGAGCTTAAAATTGTCTGCTTTGTTGTTTCAGCCCGGGTAGCCAGACCTTTATTTTTGAAATGCTGTTTTATTTTGTTGCCTTAAAAACTGAGGTGACCATTTGGTTTTGTTTGTTTCCTCATTGTAGAGTTCTGGAGATGAATCTGCAGTGCTCTGGTTGGACCAAATCCAGGAAGCTATCCTAACAGCCAATCAGGATGAAGAGGATGCCCTTATAAGTATGAACACTTTTAGCCCTGCTGTACATCTGCACTAAGTGTATAGTGTGTATAGTAGGAGTGTAACTACGGAGCCCGACAGCTGCAAGCACACACTAAACAATGAAACCAGTTGCAATAATGTGTAATGCAAAATCCAAAACATGCAAGCACAAAAAACAAATGCAAAAGGAAAAAACTGCAAACAAAACAGAAATGAGCAGCTAACTCGGGTATAAAGCAAAGCAAAAAAACATGCAAACAAAACAACAAATGCAACAGAAACACACTGCGCCCAAAAATAGCTGCAATCAGTTAAAGTAGAAGCAAAAACCTGTATCAATGAAATTAATGCAAACAAAAAAATATAGCAAAAATTAAATGCTGCAATCAGAGAAATAAAATAATGCAAATAGTAAAAACTGCTGCAAACTCACTGGACCAGGAGAGGGAGATGAACAAAGAACCAACCATATCGGACAAACCCATAAAGTTGAGCTTTATTGCAGGATAAAAATAAGAAAATAAAAACATAAAGACATTGGAAGAAGCCTCTTAACCAGGTATATATATTTTTTAAAATGAAGACATTCTCATACTTAATACGGTAAGACATTTCTCAACTTTTCCATGGCCTAATATTTTTGTCAAATGACAAAAAGGTCCTGGAGGATGTAGTGGAAGTCAAAATTTGAAAGTAAATTCCTCTGGACCCGAGTGAATAAGCTTTAAATGGCCAATGAAATAACTCCCGCCAAAAAAACCCAAAGGAAATACACATAACAAACTGCAACTCTACAGTAACATCTTGGTTACATATGTAACAAATTTGGTATCTATACAACAAGCAACTGAAAAATTAGGGATGTTTGGATTGAACAAAAATCCAGGTGGACATCATGGAACAGTTTGGCGTAATATCTGAGATCTGGAATTAATTCTTGAAATAAAATTTGAAATATTGTTATATAATTGGCTATAAAAATACAATTATCCTTCCAAAAGTTTTATTTTTTTCAGCATTATTTATTTACACATTGTAATTAAACATTATACACAAAGCTATATAGAAAAAAGATGCCTGAGGACAGATGGGTGTATCTAAATAACAGTCCAATGAGGGAGCTTCATAGCTCTTTGGAAAGGCCACCTTCTACAGAATCCGATGATATGCACCAATGACAGAGACAGAAGCCCCAGTGAATCACACGCAAGATGAGCAAAAGTCTTTGTGATTTACACAAAGTTACAGTTTTCAAATATGGGCATGCTGCTGTACCATGATATACAGAGAAGAAGGACCTTCGAGATTTAAATGAGCTATCGGTTGGATATACAGGTGCTGGTCATAAAATTAGAATATCATGAAAAAGTAGATTGATTTCAGTAATTCCATTTAAAAAGTGAAACTTGTATATTATATTCATACATTACATACAAACTCATATATTTCAGATGTTTATTTTGTTTAATTTTGATGATTACAAATGACAACAAATGAAAATCTCAAATTCATCATAGAAAATTAGAATATTACTGAAGACCAATAAAAACAAAGGATTTATAGAAATGTTGGCCAACTGAAAAGTATGAACATGAAAAGTATGAGCATGTACAGCACTCAGTATTTAGTTGGGCCTCCTTTGGCCTGTATTACTGCAGCAATGCGGCGTGGCATGGAGTCGATCAGTCTGTGGCACTGCTCAGGTGTTATGATAGCCCAGGTTGCTCTAATAGTGGCTTTTAGCTCTTCTGAATTGTTGGGTCTGGTGTATTGCATCTTCTTCTTCACAATACCCCATAGATTTTCTATGGGGTTAAGGTCAGGAGAGTTTGCTGGCCAATTAAGAACAGGGATACCATGGTCCTTCAACCAGGTACTGGTAGCTTTGGCACTGTGTGCAGGTGCCAAGTCCTGTTGGAAAATGAAATCTGCATCTCCAAAAAGTTGGTCAGCTGCAGGAAGCATGAAGTGCTCTAAAACTTCCTGGTATGTGGCTGCGTTGACCCTGGACCTCAGAAAACACAATGGACCAACACCAGCAGATGACATGGCACCCCAAACCATCACTGACTGTGGAAACTTTACACTGGACTTCAAGCAACGTGGATGAAGTGCCTCTCTTCTTTTCCTCCAGACTCTGGGACCTTGATTTCCAAAGGAAATGCAAAATTTACTTTCATCAGAGAACATGACTTTGGACCACTCACCAGCAGTCCAGTCCTGTTTCTCTTTAGCCCAGGCAAGACGCTTCTGACGCTGTCTGTGGTTCAAGAGTGGCTTGACACAAGGAATGCGACAGCAGAAACCCATGTCTTTCATACGTCTGTGTGTGGTGGTTCTTGAAGCACTCACTCCAGCTGCAGTCCACTCTTTGTGAATCTCCCCCACATTTTTGAATGGGTTTTGTTTCACAATCCTCTCCAGGGTGCGGTTATCTCTCTTGCTTGTACACTTTTTTCGACCACATCTTTTCCTTCCCTTCGCCTCTCTATTAATGTGCTTGGACACTGAGCTCTGTGAACAGCCAGCCTCTTTAGCGATGACCTTTTGTGTCTTGCCCTCCTTGTGCAAGGTGTCGATGGTCGTCTTTTGGACAACTGTCAAGTCAGCAGTCTTCCTCATGATTGTGTAGCCTATAGAACTAGACTGAAAGACCATTTAAAGGCTTTTGCAGGTGGTTTGAGTTAATTAGCTGATTAGAGTGTGGCACCAGGGGCCATCAATTTTGAACCTTTTCACAATATTCTAATTTTCTGATATGATGAATTTGAGATTTTCATTTGTTATTTGTAATCATCAAAATTAAACAAAATAAACATCTGAAATATATGAGTTTGTATGTAATGTATGAATATAATATACAAGTTTCACTTTTTAAATGGAATTACTGAAATCAATCTACTTTTTCATGATATTCTAATTTTATGACCAGCACCTGTATTCCAGAAACTGACTTTAATTGGGATATCTTTATATGAAGATGGATATCTTTTGATGAAAAAAGCAGCAAAGTCAAGACACTTTTTCTGTTTTTCTTGTTTTTGCTGGTGTTTTTGTAGTACTTTTTTGATTGGTCAGCTGCAAACGATCAGGGTTTTACTAATGAGTTTGACTTTATCCTAATTAGTGTCTTGTTGGCTTTCATTAGAAATGCATCTTTCAGTGCCGCTATCTGCGTTGCTGAAGTGAAGGCCACTAAAACAACAAAACAAGCTGGGTTATTAATTGCATTTTGGCTATCTGAGCGCTTTTTGACATGGTGTTGCAGCTGTGGATTTTTCAGTGGATTTTAGAATTAAGTAGATTTGTAGCGTAGTAGGAGATAAAGATCTGGGCATATGTTGTGTTTCAGTCTCAGAGTTGGTGAGCTACAAGCTTATTATTGTTTCAGTAGAGCTCCAGCCCCTTTGAAAGAGGATGCTTGGGCCTAATGCAGGGTAAAAAATGTTGGAAGAAGAGGTTTGTTGTGTTTCAGAATAACAACATAGTGATTTATAGTAATATAAGGAACACTCTGGTCTGATATGGTTAGTTTTTTGTTCAACAGAAGTGCTCCCTCTAGTGGTCCAGAGAACTTCCATTTTTTTAGGAGCGAGTATTGCAGCAATTTTTTTGTTGCAAATTTTTTTTCTCTGTGCATGTTTTGTTGATTGCAGGTTTCTGCTTCTTTTATTTCTAATTGCAGCATTTTTTTGTTAGCAGCAATTTTCTTTTTGCACAATTTTTGTGCGTTTTCATGTTTTGGAGTTTGCATCAAAACTGTTTTTGCAGCTTGTTTAGTCGTTTACTGCGCTTTTCATCTGCGGGTGCCATAGTTTATACTTCAGTGTGTTTCATTGTTCGTTGAAACACACAATTGTTTAAATTATTTCTAAAACCTTATTGTAAAGTACAGATATCTTAATAGAAGCATTTAACAGCTTACAGTACACCAGTGTTCATATATCCTAAAATGTTTCTTAAAGTAATAATTTTAAACCGTTTTGCTTTTCTGGCTCTAGGTTTGTTACCGTCCTTATGCTGTTTTACTGTACATTAATAATTAAAATCCTGAACCATGTTTCCTGTAATAAACTGGTCTCTGTTCAGCTGTCATTCTTGCTCAACAACAAAGTTTTCTTTTATTAGTGGCTGAAGCTGTTGCTCATATTAATAAGACGGTGGAGGAGGGGGACTTCCAGAACACCTTGCAAGCTTTGCAGGTCGCTGGTGCAGGACTGAAAGCTGTGCATCCAGACTGTGCAGAAACATACCAGACTGAACTGGCACACAGGCAAACCACAAACTCTAGCAGAGGTAAATATGCAAGCATCATGCGGTAGCTGAACTAAGGGGAAACTTCAATATTTGTAGTCTTTTTTTTTTTTTTGCATGATTAATTCAGCCTTGTTGAGTCTGATCCCTCAAACTCATTAAAGATCTGATCACTTTTTAGCAAAAAGCTATATGACAACAATGAACCCCAATCTAGCCCATGTTGATTGGTCTTGCAATAAGTGTTACTAAGTAAAAGGGACAGTTGTTAAGGTAAAAACATGCATCTGTAGCTAACAAAGGAATTAGTTGAAAAAAAAAATTGTTTCTGTAATTGCAGGAATCTTTATGTTAATATTACTTGTTTTTTATTTTTTTACTTTTATTTTTTTAAATCATTAGAAGATTATGATGGGATAAGTTGGTCTGTGATTATAGTTACTGAAAAGGAATTAGTGTGATTGATTATGAAATAAATTAAAATTGAATAAGTAAAAAAAAAATAAATAAAGGGGCGTATTAAGAAAACGTAAATTGAACGTTTCTCGGTATAAATATTCTGGTCAAATGAATTCAAAGAATTGACAATTGTTAACGCTAGTTTATAACTGTGCTTAATGTTGTCTTATCTGTCTTATCTAAACAATCCAAAGCCGTTCACATTATATTATTATTATTATTTTACACTCTCTGAGAAAGATGCTGATGTCAATTTAGTGTGAGTTGGGCCCTAGGAATCTGTGAAACACAATTGTTTTCCGTCCTACAGGCAGCAGTGATGGTGTTTGGGTAAAACACAGCATCAAGGACAGATATGACTACTTCTACAATCTAGAGACTGGGCAGGGCAGCTGGGACAAGCCTGAAGGATTTGAAAATAATGCAGCACAACTCAGCAAAGAGGAGATCCAGGTACATCTCCGTCATGTTAACAACTGATAATCTTTGTGAAAAGAAAATACAGGATTCCTTACTTGGTTGTTTACAGAGGTGTCAAGTAACGAAGTACAAATACTTTGTTACTGTACTAAGGTAACTTTTTAGGTATCTATACTTTACTCCATTACTTATTTTTCTTCCTACTTCTGACTTCTACTCATTACATTTTCACACAAGTATCTGTACTTTCTATTCCTTACATTTTTAAAACAAACGTTACTCTTGGCTTCGTGTTAATCTTTATAAATATTTATTTCACATCATGTGCTCCATCCAATGCAGATCATTGGCGTCATGCACATATAGTGAAAACTAGTGTCATTGGATGAGTCATATAACACAAAAACTCATTGGTCAACTATTCATCAAATTTGTGTTGACGGCAAAAGAAATCATCAGAAGCAAGCAGGTGTTCTTCAAACTGCAAATGTGAATTGTCTATGCTATGCTACAATGTCTGACTCAGAAAAAGATGTTGAAATGTCTAAAAGGTCAGACACAGGCAAGAGCGTATCCGGAGACGGAGACGGAGACCAACCAAACCTCCCTCATCCTTGGCCCTATCTCAGAGAATTTTTCGAATAGTTGAAAAATTGAGCTTTCAGTTTATATAGTGGCATCTGGCTTTTTTTTTAAAGGTTAATTTATAGTTTTATACTTTAAGTAGTTTTTGGAGCACATACTTTTTCACTTTTACATGAGTAAAGAGGTCAAGTTGATACCTAAATTTTTACCAGAGTGTTTTTAAACTGCACTATCTATAATTCTACTTAAGTAACAAATGTGTGTACTTTTGACACCACTGGTTGTGTAAAATTAAGTATAATTGTTAACATTGGCTTTTCTTTCTCTTTTCTGTCAGAATGTGGTAAATGTGGTTACTTCAGAGTATAACAGGGAACAGCTATGGTTAGCCAATGAAACCTTCGTCATCCAGCTGCAGGCAAAGATCAGAGGTTTCTTGGTCAGAAAAAAGCATTCACAGAGAATGGAGTATCTACGGCATCAAGAGCATCATGTAGTTAAACTCCAGGTAGGAAATATCTGACATTACTTCTTTTACCCTTTTAACATCTTCAAATGTTTATTGACCAGATGATCAAGATCATATTTGTTTTGTGTCCTTTAGTTTTAATATAGAAATAATAGAAACAATATGTTTACAGTAGAAGTTAATCCACCATGGACATGGTGTTTTTGAGTGAACTCACTGTTCATCAATCAGTCAGTTTATTTGCCCATTAAACATTTGGTGTACAAGTTTCAATACAGATTTGATCTGATATAGTGAAGATTATACTTCCAGGCATAAAGTATGTATATTAATACTTATATTTGGTTAAATGTCCCTCAACAAGCAGAGCTGGACTTCTGAAAAGATTCTAACAGAATTGTTCTTATAACAAAAGGCTTTGGATCAGAAATGACTTTTAAATTAGTTAGTTTTCTGACATGGACATCATCAGGCCATTTAATTTCTGAGCTTTAATGTTATCCTAGTTTGGGTGTATATTTTTGGTCACTGCACCATGAAAGCTTCAGATGTCTGTTTTAACATTTCCAGATGTTGATTTAAGCTGGTGGTGAAGAATTTGGAGGAAGTCCTTGTTTTTTTTATCATTCCATTCACTTGTTATAATTACAAAGTGACTTCCACCTATAGCTTAAACTTGCACATGATCTGAATCATTAGCAAATTTCAATGAATTGCTGTTCAGGTTATCCTGTACACAGACAGACAGACAAACACACATACAACCCCAACTAAAAACATACATTAATTAAACATTTACTGCAGTCTTTTCGGTGGTAAATTCTATGGACATTCCCTGAATTTTTTTATCTCTTGAAAAGTAACCTTACCAATGAAGACATGTAAATTGTTCAAATATTGGTTAAATTTTAAGGAAACTAATATAAATTTGACAGCCTTTGTTTACCACTTCACCCTTTTACTCTATGCTGAAGTAGAGCTGTAAAAGTCTGAGTTGTTAAAGAAGATCTTAACCAAATTGTCTTTGCACTAAGGTTGACCATTTTTATTGACTAAATTTGGTCATTGGTTGGCTTTGCTTACAGGACATTGGTCCAAGCAAAAAAAAAAAAAAAAAAAACTGCACTTCAAAAGGAAAAAAGCCAGGCTTCATTATTTTTCTGTCAAATCAGCATCTCTACTGCTAAAACAACCAATTTAAAAAAGAAAGATGTTGACTAAATCTGTTTGTAAGAGGGGTTTGAAGATGAATCATGAATTATACCTTTAATGTAATTTGTCAGAATTGATTGAATTATTTTTAACGATCAGTTTACATGTGGAGGGCTGATCTGTCATCTGTTAATCTCTCCTTCCTGATGCACCCGTGGGCTTTTGAAGCATTTATAAATGTAGAGCAATTGTATTTTAAAGTTGTCTAAATGTGAGTTTATGTGATTAAAAGAAGACAAAATAAGAGTATAACACCTGTTGAAGGAAACCTTTAAAGGGATTATTTCTGCCTGTCCAAGTTCACCAACCGATGCTGTGATGCCTTTAACCAAACTGCAGTATTTTAAAGCTTCTCTCTCTCTTTTTTTAGGCTTGCTGGAGAGGTTATAGACAGAGGAGAATCTACATAGCGCGGATGAATTTGCTTCAGAAAAGTGTTGCTTCTGTGGTCAAGGTGATTATTGCCTTTTAATATAGTTCTCCTTCTTTGTCTTTAAAATTGCAGCTGTTCTTAAGCAACTGCCAACCAAAATTAGATTGCTGTGAAGTGTTATTTGTAACTAATAATCATAATAATACATTTTATTTCAAAGGAGCCTTTCTGGATCCTCAAGATCACCATACAAAATATAAAAACAAACTGTTAGTCATATAGTCTGTATACATAATTCCTGCAACAGTTTATTTTTCTGATCCTTAGATCCAGTCTATAGTGAAAATGTGGAAAGCAAAACGGAAATACAGTCAAAGGTTGCAGTTCTTCCGAGACCATGTGAGTTATCTGTTCTATCCACAGACATGTCTTTGAAAGATTGCCTTAAATTTCTCATGATCCTTTCACCAATCTATCATTTTTAGGAAAAAGAAATTATAAAAATCCAGGCTTTCCTGAAGGCAAACAAAGCAAGAGACGATTACAGGACCTTAAGTAAGTCTAAAAATCATCTTTGACTTTTCTAATCACAGGGGTTGGTTGAGCTGCTTTAGTTAGGCTGTTATAATATGGATGTATCTTTGATATTAGTATAGATAAAATAATGATTTTATTGAAGGGTTTTATTAAAGTCTTAGATAAAAGGGAAGATATATGAATCTTTAAAATGTAGCTGCTGTATGCTATCGACTCCTACATGTTTTCCAACATTAAATTTAGTTAATCTGTAAATTATATTTTAACAGTTTAAAAACAAAGGTAGCTTATATTTCTTTTGATAATTATGTATTACAGTTGATTAACAGATCAAATTCTGTTTTTTTTTTTCTTTAATGACCAAAGTTTTCTTTTATAGCTCATCTAAAACAATAATGGTTTAACAAAATGCCTCATAGATAGAATTTTATAATAGTCGGCACTACATGATCTAGAATAATTTATCTACAGTGCTAGTGTTTGCTTAAAGTTGCAAAATTTGCAAAAACAGGCTCTCCAGTTGGTTTGTTGACCTTGAAGTAATGAAGCATAAAGTTGCAGCAGCTCAGACAGACATGATGGTTATCAAACCCTTAAGAAATGGTTTAACTGATTGATCAGTTAACTTCCCTTACCTTAACCTTCAAACCAAGCAGAGTAGACCAGCTGAAGGCCACTATTAAAGTAACCTGGGCTCTCTAAACCTCAAAGCCACAGCCTGATCTCCTGCAGGCCATACTGCTCTGATCCAGGTGTTCATGCATTTGGGGTCTAAATAAGATAATAAATTAAATGATAAAGAATACCTTTCATGATTTCCATGTAATACTCATACTTTCTAAGTAATAGAATTTTGGTATTTACAATTTGAGATATATATCTATAGATAAAAGAAATCCCCCTTTTAAATATTAATTACTGAAATCTAATTTCTAAGGTCTTCATATGCACTGGCACAGACCACTTTATCATCTGATTTGTCTGTGCTGTCCAGGATGTGAAAAACGTATCGGTGTAGGAGCAGTAAATGTTTGTCAATATGGTAAAACTAAACTGAGGTTCTGTTTTTTGACATGTAAGCTGGAGCCAGTGATCCTCCACTGTCAGTGGTCCGAAAGTTTGTCCACTTGTTGGAGCAGAGCCCCCGGGATCTGCAGGAGGAACAAGAGGTGACGCGTCTCAGGGAAGAAGTGGTGACAAAGATCCGCTCGAACCAACAGATGGAGAAGGACTTAAATCTGATGGACATCAAGATCGGACTGCTGGTTAAGAACAGGATCACCCTGCAGGTGGAGAATTTATGACATTTTTTTCCATTGTGAGTTTTTCCGAGTGCATCTGAGATGGAAAGGTTAAATATGTTCACCTTCTTCTGGTCTTCTAAACACTCAGGGGATGGGACTGGTCTGACCATGGTGCTCCTTATATTCCAGCTAGGATTCCCTGTTAATTTAGGGTTTGTTTCATTTCACAGGATGTTGTTTCACATAACAAGAAAATGAAGAACAAGAAAAATAAAACGAGTAAAGATGACCAGACTGCTGGAGATGGACTTGGGATCAAAGGCCTCAGTAAGGGCAAGAGAAGGAAGCTGGAGGCCTACCAACATCTCTTTTATCTGCTGCAGGTATAAAAGCTCTGCAGCAACAGTATTACAATTGAACCAAGAATTAGATCTTTCTGATTTTGAGCATTAGGACAAACTAAATCTCATTTTTTTCTGACATTTTTTCAGACCAATCCATCCTATTTGGCTAAGCTGATCTTTCAGATGCCTCAAAACAAATCGACAAAGTTCCTGGACACAGTGATCTTTACTTTGTACAACTATGCTTCCAACCAAAGGGAGGAATATATGCTGCTCAGACTCTTCAAGACTGCGCTGGAAGAAGAGATTAAGTAAGAACTTGGTGGATAGTAGAGCAAAATGTTAAGCAGAGCATCATTTGACAGAATGGATAAGAGCCTGATTGCATAAGTGCAGACTGAGAACACGTGATAGAACAGAGGGTGATACAAAAAGGCTGTAGATCTGTATGCATAACTATGAACTGGAGGTGGTTTTCTGGATTAAAGTCTAGTTCTACTATGATTTCAAACCTATTCTCCTGAGGTCCAAGATCTCTTTGGAGTGGAATTTCAAGGATTGCGAGGGATAGATAGATGTGGTTTGGAAGAACAGGAGGAACTTTGCTAACATTTCTGAAAAAATGTGTGACATCATGTTAGCCTGAGCAGTCCTGTATAATATTGCGCAGCACAGCTGGATTTAATTCAGAGCTTTGTGCTGAGGCTGTCAGGACAGATAGATCATATCCAACTAATCTTCAGTCTGACTGTTGAATAGTTCTGAGCTAAAACAACCACATTTTAACAATTGTGCAATTTATGTAAAAAACTGTATTTTAGGTAAGATCTGTCATTTATTAGTGGCGCAATTTCTTTATGTAGTGAGCTTAAAAAATGGGAACAAATATCATTTTCAGCTTCCAGATGATCAACATCAAATTGTTCCATGGGATTGGCCGGTATATGCATTATTTCATAATCTAAACATAGATTATCATGTATTCTGCTTTAGTTTCACATAAACATTAGCTTTCCCAGAAGTGAACTGTAATTACATTTATTGAGATCTTTTAATATAAATAAAACCTAACTTATTCTTTATAAACATACAGATTCTATTTTTATTTGTTCTGGCATATTTGTGAATATATGCATAGTCTCTATCATTTCTCTTAATTCTCTGTCTTAGTTCAAAAGTGGATCAGATCCAGGAAATAGTGACGGGCAATCCTACAGTCATCAAGATGGTGGTGAGCTTTAACAGAGGTGCACGAGGTCACAATGTACTCAGGCAGCTTTTGGCCCCAGTAGTCAAAGATATCATAGATGACAAGAGTTTAAGCACCAACACCAATCCTGTGGAGGTGTACAAAGCCTGGGTCAACCAGCTGGAGACGGCGACCGGAGAGGCCAGGTAGGAGCAGAAACTACTGTTGAATACATTACTGACAGGGTTTAAGCTGGGATTTATTCCGTTTTAATGTGTGAATTCTCTTACAGTATTTGGAATATTTTAATCTTACCTTATCAGGAGACCAGTTTCTTACCATAAAAAAAATAATAATAATTTTGTTTCCATTGGTTTCCTTTAGCAAGCTGCCCTATGAGGTTACTCCTGAGCAAGCCATGTCACATGAGGAAGTACGTAACAGGCTGCAGGCTTCCAGTGCGGCTCTGCGGTCCACAACAGATAAGGTGTTGAACTTAATTGTGTCGTCGCTGGATAACATCCCGTAAGTTTCTAGGTTTAGTCCCTATAACGGTCTTCTGGCTGTTCTTCTGTGCCAAATTCACATGTTTTATGGCCCTTCATTACCTGTTGTGTTTAATAAAGATTAAATGATAAAAAATGTATTTACTCTCCCCTGTTTTAGCATTAAAATCTCATAAAACATGTCATCTTGCTGAGCTTTCAGTTTAATTTCTTCAGCTTTCTTTTATATTTAAACATTTTTCGATAAAACTGGACATTTTTGGCCTCACTGTGGTTTCGATGCTTGGGCAACCTTTTAGAGCACTTACTGGCATAAAAACTTTACTTTTTCTGATTCTACTGTTACCTACCACTGGGGGTGCTGTTGCTCCTACATAGGAGATCAGACTGTAGTTCAAATGAGCCATCTTCAGTTTTACTCTTCTTGGGTTTGTTTTATTATTTCTAAAATGACATGTAACTGTATGCTGATGGCTGACCAATTCTTTTTGTTTTACATACAGTTATGGCATGAGATACATAGCAAAGGTTTTGAAGCAAAGCCTCCATCAAAAGTTTCCAGAGGCCTCAGAGGATGAGCTGCTGAAGGTAGAGGGAATAATACATTACCACCAAAAAACAGAAAAAAACACCTTTCCTGCTTTATGTGTTACTTATTTATCTTTATTTAGATTGTAGGGAACCTGCTGTACTACCGCTACATGAACCCAGCCATTGTGGCACCAGATGGATTTGATATCATCGACATGTCAGCAGGAGGCCAACTTCATGTCGAGCAGCGACGCAACTTGGGATCTGTTGCAAAGATGCTGCAGCATGCTGCTGCAAACAAGCATTTTGAGGGCGAGAATGCGCACATGATTTCAATGAACAACTACATATCTCAGGCGTATGAGAAGTTTAGGTAAGAGGAAAAATGAGGAGTCTGCATAAATTATGCTTTGCTGTCTATTATGTTGGACGTAAAACAAAACCTTTTGTTAAGAGAAAAATCCAAGAGGTAAAAAAGAAGTGACCTTCCTCCAATAACAATGCAGAATATAAAAAAACGACACTGTGGACATGAAGGTAACCATGGAAAAAGAAAAAGCTATGTGCTGTATAAGCAGATTTTAGACAGTCGCCTGCCAACATTAACTTCACTTCCAAATGAGAAAGGCAACATGAGTGTGTGTGCCGCCTTTTGGCCCACTTTGTGAAAATGAGTGACTCATCTTTACTGGAAATCCACTATCCTGTCTATTTTCTGGGAATCTGTCTGTTTGAACTGTTCCACCTCTCTAGCAAAAAGATTTAATGAAGTTTAGCAACTTAAATGGAGTGTTGTTTACGTCAACCTTACTATACCTGATGCTCAAAGACTAATGCCTAACTGTTGATCTCCAACAGGTTATTTTTCCAGGCTGCATGTGACGTTCCTGAACCCGAGGAGAAGTTTAACATTGATGAATATTCAGACATGGTTACTCTGAGCAAACCTGTCATCTACATCTCAATAGAAGAAATCATCAACACTCATTCGGTAAATTCTGGCCAAATACAACGATCAAATAATACGATCTTTTATTCCTTTCTGTCACACCTACTTAGATCATCCTCTATGGTGCTTTTTAAAGACTTAAAGCTGCATTAAGAGGCGAACTTTTAGGCTCTGCTGTTTCAGAAAAAATTAAGAAATGAATTAAAACTAAACTGCATAACCAGTGATATGTGTGCAAAATACTACCTCTATGCAGTATTTACTAAGAGATGATGTTTCAGGACTTTAACTTCACACTCGGCATTATATTATACATGACTGGTTAGATGATGTCCCACTGCCCCTGGTAGCCACATCAGCAGTGTACTTCAATAGCTGAGATGCTAAAAGCTATGTTAAAGGAATAGTACACCCAAAACATGATTAGCCTTCATTTTCTACTCACCCCCATGCTGAACAACACTCTGGAGTACTTTTTTGATATCTCAAATGCATCTGGAGATCTTCTTGCTGTCTGCTGACATTCAAATAATGGAGGTCTATGGTGCCCGAGACAGAAAGGTCCGTAAAAGTCCACAAAAAACGTGTCAATATTCCTCCATACTGCTCGTCCAATGTATTCCAAGTGTCCTGAGTTGGTAGTGTCCATAATTTACTCGAAACAAAGTCATTTAGAATGTTTTTAGAGCATAAACAGTAGTGTATAGGATTTCCTAAAAGCGCGTTCACGAGTCTACGGAAACCGCGGCAGACCAATCCAGATGAAAGTGCGCATTCAGCGTCTGCTCTTGATAATGCAAGCATAGAAGAAGAAATGTGCTGTTTACCTGTGCAAAGAAAGAAACAACGAAAGAAAAATGTCTGAGGACTTCAGTGTTGAGGAAGAGCATGAGTTCTTTGCCGAGCTGAATGCGCACTTTCATCTGGTTTGGTCTGCCGCGTTTTCCGTAGGCTCGTGAACTCGCAGGCGCGCGCTTTTAGGAAATCCTATACACTACTGTTTATGCTCTAAAAACATTCTAAATGACTTTGTTTCGAGTAAATTATGGACGCTACCAACTCAGGACACTTGGAATACATAGGACGAGCAGTATAGAGGAATATTGACACGTTTTTTGTGGACTTTTATGCAGCTTTCTGCCTCGGGCACCATAGACCTCCATTATTTGAATGTCAGCAGACAGCAAGAAGCCTCCCAGATCTCCAGATGCATTTGAGATATCAAAAAAGTACTCCAGAGTGTTGTTCGGCATGGGGGTGAGTAGAAAATGAAGGCAATTCATGTTTTGGGTGTACTATTCCTTTAAGCTTTAGTAATGCAGTTATTGTGCAGCTTTGATTGGCATTTCTTTTAAACAGAAAAGCAACTTTTTTTCCCCCTGATTTTGAAATAAAACTTTCTATAAACTATAAATAATGTTTGATAACTATTATCTTGATTTTTTGCATGAGATGTAATATGTAGAATAAACAGCCAGCTGTTAAATCTGTACACAATGACCAGTGTGCTTGTTTAAATTTTAAATGGGGAGAGGTGACCTAGTGGTTAGGGGATCAAGAGGTTCTGAGTTCAAGCCCCACTCCTACAGACTGCCAGTCTGGGTCTCTGAGCAAGACCCTTAACTCCCACACTGCTCCCTGGGTGCCGCACAATTGCAGCCCACTGCTCCCTAAAGGGATGGGTTAAATGCAGAGAGTGAATTTCGTTGCCTTGTACTTGTGACAGTGTCATGACAAAGTTGAATTTCTTTACTTCTATTTTTAAAAACTGTTGCTCATAAGGATGATGGGTTCTATGACTTTCTGAGACCTGTGACCTTTCTTCTAAGCAAGGACATGTGCTTTCTCTCATAACCGCCCCTCACAGCTAGCCTGCAGCAATATGGGGGGGGAGGGACAAGAGTTGTTTTGTTTTGTTTTTACTTTATTTCAAAATTTTTCTGGCGTCTCATTAAGAGAAGTTTAAACAGAAACTGAATCGATTTTGAAAGTTGCATCTATGGGAAACAGACTCATTGCTGATACAGACTGTATAGGGATTTATTCATCTTTAAATAATGATGTCTGACCTGTATTTTTCTTTCCATCCTATTTTTCTTTCACCGTTATCCTGTTTCTGTTCTTTATATTTCCTGAGCTTGTCCTTGGAAAGCGATTAGTAATGAGAGACGAGGGATAAAGCATGAAGTGTTTTTAGTTTCACTCTAAACAGGATTGTTAATGGATGAATTAATGCATCAGGAAAATGTTTAATCTATATTTTTCCTCTGCTTATGAATATAATCTTATCAGATGTTAATGTTCCTCAATGATTGTGGAACAAGTAAAAGGAGAATTGATGGAAAACATGTATTCTAATGATATGCAATGATTTAATAGGAACTTTTTTTAGATAACTTGAAAGGCAACAGCATATTCAGTAAATTTCGACTTTGATCTTCATTATTTTTTATTCCAGCAACCTTGCAAACACTGGTTTTATTTACTTTGTTTATTTTTGGCTCTTTTGTTGTAAATTGTTTGAAATGACCCGGTTGGGTTAAACACAACTGTTTTCATACAGCTAGTGTTGGAGCACCTGGAGGCCATCTCTCCAGACCGAAATGACCTGCTGCACGAGCTGCTGCAGGACCTGGGAGATGTTCCTGATGTAGAAGCTCTGCTTGGTACTGGTTTAAAACTCCTGACTATTAAGTCCCAAGTTCTCCACATTTCCTCGATTTGCAAACTATGCTGCTGTACTTTTAGGTGAAGGAGCTCTAGATCCAAATGACCCAAACAGAGAAAGCGCTCTGAGTCAGCTGGCAAAGACTGAGATCTCTCTAACACTGACCAGCAAGTTCGAACTTCTGGAGGGAGATGAGAAAGACTTGAAGACCCTCATGACAAAGTAAGTCAATGCTTAGAACTTGGGCATAATAATCTTATATTTATCTCATTCTGAGGCTTTGAATGCAGCTTTGGGCGTCAACTGCAAAACTGTCAGCAAAAATCGCACCTAGTCAGCACTGCTCTGTTAGTACTCTGTTTTCCATTGGCTTTTGTGAGACAATTGGTGCGTCTTTGCAGGCGTCACTCAGCTACATATCTTTGTTGTCTTTCCTGCTCCTCTATCTTGTTCTGTCCACAGAGGAAGGAGCAATGGGGCTGGGGTTATCTACCCTTTAAACATGCATCCTTTTTAACAGCCTTATGGAACAATGCGGTTGCTCTTGTCCTGTCTTTCAAGCCGCGCTCACAATGTCAAATAAATAGTGAAGACGCAGTAACTTAGATTATACTATTAGCATGTTAGCTGGAAATGTTCCCCATATTTTAACTGCAGCAGGTCTTCAGTCAGAATCAGCTAGATGCTGTCTTTACCTGCCATATAGTATGATGCATGGTGCTTGATTGATTTAAAATAAAATAAATATTTTTAAAGTAAAGCAAAAAAGACACAGTTTATATCTGTTTCTGTCTACTTACTAACCTACGTGTAAAATTTGCAAATGGCCAAGGCGATGTCAGCCTTTCAGGAGGCAGAGGAGATCAAAGAAGAATGTTTTAAAGGTGATTGGGGAATTTTTTGAGGGCTTGACATAAAACGAAAGTTACGTATGTAACTATGGTTCTATGAATCCCGGATGACCGCCAGAGGGCGGTGCTGAAAGCACTGAATGTTCCCTTCGGGCATGCGCAGTTCGAGTAATTATACCAACAGAGTCACACCTGTGACACCGGATGACCACTCAGAAGCTATATAGCCTGGTGTCATCCTTTGCTCTGCTCCTACAGAATCTTCTCGCAAAAAGCAAGGATTCTGAGTGACAGAGAAGCTCTGGCGGTCATCCGGGATTCATAGAACCGTAGTTACATACGTAACTTTCGTTCTATTTCATCCCTACTGACCGCCAGAGGGCGGTGCTGAAAGCACAGAATGACTAATGCCAACGATGTCACAAGGAATCCTGAGCACATACCTCACAGAGGAGGCCCAGCAGAACCTTGTAAAAGGACCTGACCCAGGGGATGAGGGGCAGCCACATTGACACTGTAGAACCTGGTGAAGGTGGTTGGGGAAGCCCATGAAGCAGCAGCACATATAGCTTCCAGCGGAACCCCTCTCAAAGCAGCCCAGGAAGCGGTGACGCTCCTGGTGGAATGTGCTCTCACACCGACTGGCAGGGAGCAGTGACCTGCAGCGTGGCAGATGACACTCACAATCCAATGGGACAGACGCTGTTTAGAAAGAGGACAGCCTAACCTTGGACCCCCATAGCATAGGAAAAGCTGGTCCGAGCGTCTCAGATTGGCGGTGGCTGCAATGTATGCCTCCAACGCTCTTACTGGGCACAACAACTCAGACTCATTCTCAGTTGTACCAGATTGAGGCTGAAACCGAGCCAGCCGCAATGGCTGGTTACGGTGAAAAGGAGACAACACCTTAGGCACAAACGCAGTATTAGGCCACAGGGTAACACCAGAGCTATCTGGATTCCACCTGATACACCTAGGGCTGACAGAAAGAGCATGTAGCTCGCTGACCCTCTTAGCTGAGACGATAGCCATCAGGAAAGCAGTCTTGCAGGAAAGCCACTTGAGTTCTGCTTGTGCCAAAGGCTCGAATGGAGGGTGGCACAGAGCTGTGAGAACCAACGGCAGATCCCAATCTGGGGCTCGTGGGGCTGGCTGCTGGCACAACCTACGAGCACCACGCAGAAAAAGGGAAACCAGTTCATGGCGCCCCACTGTACGGTTGTCAACAGTTCGGTGAAGACATGAAATTGCTGCAACATACACTTTAAGGGTCGAAGGAGAGCGGCCCTTATCAAGGAGAGACTGGAGGAACTCCAAAATAGTGGGCACCGAGCAGGAAACTGGGTTCTCATTGTGGGCAGAGCACCACTGAGAAAAGAGGCGCCATCTGTTAGCATACTGCAGCCGAGTAGAGGAAGCCCTAGCACTCAATACGGTGTGTCTCACGGTGTCTGAACACCCAGTCAGCCTCCCAGGGGCCATGCCCACAGCTGGAGACGTTGAGGGTTGGGGTGCCATATCTGTCCCCCCAACTGAGACAGCAGATCCCTCCTTGCTGGAAGACGCCATGGAGTACCGTGACACAGACTCCAAAGCAGCGGGAACCACGGCCGCGCTGGCCAGAACGGAGCTACCAGCAACACTCTGTGGCCCTGCTCGAGAACCCTCCGTAGAGTCGGCCAAATCAGTGAGAGGGGTGGAAAGGCATACAGGAGAACCTGTGGCCATGGATGAGCCAGTGCATCCTGGCCCAGTGCGCCCGCCATCCCGGTTAGGGAATACCATAGGGGGCAATGGGTCGACTCCTCTGTGGCGAACAGATCTACCTCTGCCTGCCCAAAGAGGTTCCAGATTATGCGCACTACGTCGCGGTGAAGAGACCACTCTCCCGGAGCAGGTGCCTGGCGGGATAGAGAGTCCGCAACCTGGTTCTGCTGTCCTGGCAGATACGCTGCGCGCAGGGTACACAGACGGGGAAACGCCCATTCCAGGAGATCCCTCGACACCTTCAAGAGACGTGCTGACCTGGTGCCACCTTGGTGGTTTATATGATAAACAACAGAGGTGTTGTCTGTCCGAATCAGCACGTGCCTTCCCTCTAGGTGGGGCAGAAGGCACCTGAGGGCCATGTGCACAGCCCGCAGCTCCAGCACATTTATGTTTTCGGTGCGCTCCCTTGGGTCCCAAAGACCCCGAACAGCTCTGTGTTGCCACACGGCACCCCAGCCCATGAGGCTGGCATCCGTGGTGACCACCTCCCTTCGACACACTACTAGCCCCATTGGAACACCACTGGACAAAAGGGTCCCGTCTCGCCAAGGAGCTAGGGCATGGAGGCAGCTCCTGGTCACCATTAGCCTGCGATGCCTGTGCAGCCTGGCGTCTAGGCGAAAGCTGTTGAGCCATTGCTGCAAAGGACGCAGAAGGAGCAGCCCTAAGGCCACGACACGAGTGACTGATGTCAGTTTGCCCAGCATTCGCAGGAAGATGATGAAGGGAAACTCCCTGCCCAGTCTGAATCGACGGACAAGCTGGAGTATGTCGTCCACCCTGTGAACAGATGGACGGGCCATCATGGTAGCAGAGTCCAGATGCATCCCAAGAAAGGTGGTTGTCTGAGATGGAACAAGACAACTCTTTGCCAAGTTGACTTTGAGGCCTAACAGTGACACATGAAGTAGAAGCTGGGACGTATCCCGAGAGGCAGCTAGCTGAGAGGGAGCACAAAGAAGCCAATCGTCCAGGTATGGCAGAATCCTGACTCCGGAGGCCTGTAGAGGAGAGAGGGCTGCTTTCACGCATCGAGTAAACACCCTCGGGGAAAGGGAGAGCCCGAATGGGAGCAACCGGAATTGCCAATGGCGTCCCCGATAGGCGAACCTGAGAAAACGGCGATGTTCTGTCGCAATAGGCACGTGAAAGTAGGCGTCTGTCAGATCTACTGATGTAAACCAATCTCCCGCCACAATGGTCTGAAGGACCTCTGTTATGGTGAGCATGTGGAAGGGAAGGACCTTCAGGTACCGATTCAGTCCCCTTAGATCTAAAATGGGGCGAAAACCGCCGGTCTTCTTGGCCACAAGGAAGTATGTGGAGTACTAGCCTCTGGGTTGCCGCAGAGGATCTACAGACTCGATTGCCCCCTTGCCCAGGAGGGCGGAAAGCTCCTGGTCTAGTGCCTGAGATTTCACCGGGTCTGTGATGACAGTCATCTTGACCCGGTGTGAGAGGGGGGGGCCGCCGTCGGAACTGGAGCCTGTAGCCATTGGTTAAGGTGGCAACCACCCATGGATCTACGGCATGAGCAGCCCAGAAATTCAGCTGCTGATGGGAAAAATGTCCGACGGCTGGCCCGGTGGCATCATCTTCTATCCCCACGGCCTCTGGGGGGAGGGCGTCCAGGATTTGAGGCCCGGGTCTGTCTAACAGGGCGGCAGACTGGCTCACGAAAGTCCCTTCTCGGTCTCTGCCGCACATCATGGGGATAGGAACCAACAGGTCTGCCACCGGTCTGAGGTCGTGGCTGAACGCTGGGGGTAGTGGCAGGGCGGCCCGAACGCTGGGGAAAGGCAGGTATGCTCCTGCGAAGGCCGGAAAGCTGCTGGCTAGTCTGACGTGCCTGAGCAGTCCGTTCCAGCGCCTCCAAGGCAGCTGATCCAAACAGCTCCCCTGGTACAACCGGGACACCCCTGAGGGTCCTACGGCATGCTTCAGTCAGAGGAGACTGTGCCAACCAGACCTGTCTACGAGCTTGGACAAGGAAAGACATAACCCGTCCAAGCTCTCTGGTCATCAGCGCGAAGGCCTGCAGCGCTGCGTCACTATAACCAATCGCCGCACTTGCACCACCAGTGTCCTGAACATATGCAGACAGGGCAAACATGAGGTGCGCCAGAGAATTGCCAAGGCGGCCAGCACGCGCTCCTGCATTGTACGCCTTACAGAGGAGGTCATCTGTAACCTGACATTGAGTCTGCGGGCACCGGACATCAGGACGCAGGGCTTCATCTGGTGACACAATCAGTGAAGCAACAGCTGGTTCAATTGCTGGCATACGGTCCAGGCCGGCCTTCACCGACTCATGCATGGCAGCTAATACACGACCATCCGATGAGAGACGCGACAGCGCTCTCGGTTCCCGCCAACAGGCGTGTAACTCCTTCAAGTACTCCTCTGATGGAGGTACAGAAAAAGGAGTAGGAGCCCTTCCACGTCTGAAAAAGGCACTGCCGGAGCTGGATGCCTCTCCTTGTGGGAGTTCCAGCTGCAGCTGCTTCAGGGCCATAGACATGACCTCCCGCATGGAACCGTCACCGGCCTCTCCAACCGCACTCTGAGATGAAAATGAACCAGCCTCAGAGGCTTGAGAGGACCCTGCCTCCTCCTCATCTCTAAAATGAGAAGCGGAAGCAGCCAGAGAGATAACGTCACCCTCTACAACCAGCTCGGGCATTGGTGGGGAAGAGAGCCCAACCACTGGGAGCGAGGGATCAGATTGCCGTGTCTGCAACAAGGACTTCATCTCTGCCAGCTCTGCTGACAACTGCTCCACCCTTGTGGACAGGCCCTGGTCAGGTTTGGCCCGCTTCCTCCGGGGGAGGGGCACAGATGCTGTGGTCCCACCACAGCGCTTAGAACGCTTGGGGGGAACCACCTGCCCAGACGGCAGAAGGTCCGAGCCCTCCTGGGGGCACAACTGGGCCAACCGGGCCACCCTCACTGCATGGGGCATAAAGCTGCAGTTCATACAGGGGTTCTCAGACAGCGCCTCCAAAAGGTGCTCATGTCCAAGGCAGGTAGGGCACAGGTCGTGGCCATCCTCTGCCTGCAGGGCAGCCCCACAATCCATGCAGCTGTGAGAGCCATCCATGTCGAAGGCCAACAAGGCTTAAAGAACAGAAAGTTATCGAAAATCGGGAGAGGGGGCGCAAACGCAGCCGTCACCAATTACAGCAGAGAAACGAAAGAGGCTGCGAGCACAAGGCAGCCGATACTGGGAGAGGGGGCGAGAACCGCTACCGTCACCAGGTATAAAACCAATAAACCAAAAAAGCTAACAACGTTAGCTGTATGGAAACTTAAGTTGGGAGTAGGAGCGAACAACGCTGCCGTCACCAATTTAGAGAGCAGACCAACGAAAAGGCTGCAAAAAAGGTTGATATTGGGAGAGGGGGCGAAAACGCTGCCGTCACCATTTATAACTAAGCAGACCGATGAAGAAGGCTGCAAACAAACCAAAAAAGGCTAACAACGTTAGCCGTCTCCAACTTCGGCAAACGAAGTAGACCACACTTGGTTGGGAGAGGGGGCGAAAACCGCGGCCGTCAGTAATTATAGCAGTGCAGACCGGTGAAAAAAAGGATGCAAAAGTAGGGAATATACTGGGAGAGGGGGTGAAAACCGCTGCCGTCACCAGGTATAACACCAACAAACTAAATAAGCTAACTACGTTAGCCGTATATAACTTCGGCAGTGAAGTTATTCACACTGGGAGTAGGGGCGAAAACGCTGCCGTCACCAGTTCGAAACAAAACAGCACGAAGCTGTAGGTAAAAAGCTAAAGTCGTGAGCCGGGAGAGGGGGCGCGGACGCTACCATCACCAGCAAACAACTCACTTACCTTCCGTAATCCTCAGAATCGACCCGTTGCAGCCCTGGGAGGGCGGAGAATAACCGCAACTCCGGTCAAGAGACAGGGGCTTCAGACAACGGGGAAGTTAGCGAACCGCTTGCGAGAAGAAAAAAGGAGCAGAGCAAAGGATGACACCAGGCTATATAGCTTCTGAGTGGTCATCCGGTGTCACAGGTGTGACTCTGTTGGTATAATTACTCGAACTGCGCATGCCCGAAGGGAACATTCAGTGCTTTCAGCACCGCCCTCTGGCGGTCAGTAGGGATGAAATAGAACTAAGTGCAGATATCAAAATGGGGTGTCTACATATATGGCAAGACGAGTTAAGATACATTCAAGAGTATGCTAGTAGAGAGATAGACATCACCTCCTCTTCTGTTTTCCAAAGTGTAGATTATTAATAAAAGATTGCATAGATATATATAACAAGGCAGTCCTAATATTCGATTTTCTACATCACACACTAATTTCAAACTTTTTACTCCACAGTATTTGTGGTTTTTCTAACTAAATGTATGCAGGTTACTCCAAAAAAGGGAGGTGCCGCTTTACCATCTAGAATGCAAAACAAAGCACTAACACTGGTATTTTTAAAAATAGGAAGGGGACCTGTGATCAGAGCAACTTGTCGTAAGCATTATTTTCGTTCACCTCTGGAAACAGCAATGCTTCATTTTCTACGTCAACCATGTTTTTTCACTCTGTGATATTCACCCTGCCTGACATAAATTGGCAGAGAAATATAAAGCTTTGATTTTATATCATGTGTTGGATCACGGATGATGTAAGACTCTGGAACACATCCAACGAGAGACGATTGTAAATCAAGTTATTAAAAAATTACATCAGTCCTCTGAGAGGACTACATTTTCATTCCTGAAACTCTTAGAGTGGTTTCCATCATGTTTTCACAAAGACGACAGCTCCTCCGGTTTGGTCTAAACAATATGACTTCACTATTGCTTGTTTTAAAACTAACATTTTGTTTCACTTAAAGATGCTGCTTATTTTCTTTCAGGACCAAAAAGCTGCTTGTTGATGTCCTTCGGATCCAGCATGGAGAGACATTACCAGACATCCTTGAGACCCCAGCTACGGCTCCACAGGTCATATCTTCTATTTATCTCGACAGTTACTGTAATTTACCCAAATGGAAAAATGTTAAAAGTCTGGATTATTATTTATGTCATTAATATAACATCTTTTTTTTGTTTGTTTCTGAAGGAATCCGAGCATACGAAGATGGTCCAGCATAGGGCGGACCAGGATGCTCAGACTCCAGAGGGGCTGAAAAGCAGCCCAGCAGTGTTGGAGGACAGCCAGCTGCCTCTCGAGCAAAAGAAGAGGAAGATCTTAAGAAATCTCCGTAATCTTGAACAGGCTGGCCTCGTCACTGCCACTAACAAATTCCAAGACATCATAAACGACATAGCAAAGGTTGAAAACTACTTCATTCTGTCTGTTTGAAAGTGCAGGCTTTATATTCCTCCAGTTAGTCTAAATTGTATCAAAACTGATCTTTAAACCTTTAATCGACAGGACATTCGGTACCAGAGACGCTACAGACAGAGGAGAAAGGCAGAGCTTACCAAGCTTCAACAAACACTGACGGCACTCAACTCCAAAACAGCCTTTTTCCAGGAACAGATGAATTATTACGACACCTACATAAAAACCTGTCTGGATAACCTCAATCGGAAGTCAGTGTGGTTTCTTACCCTTGTTAGATTGAAGACATTTTTTATGAAAAAAAAATGTATTTAAGTATTTTTAGATCTTAGTCCTGATGTATTTTGACAGATGCATCAAAACGAAGGTATATAAAAATATGTTTTTTTTTTTTGTGTTTTAGGAATTCACGCAGGTCCATCAAACTGGACCGCAAAGGAGAAGAAAAGGGCAGTAAGAAGTGGAGGCCTCAGTCTCTGAAGTACACAGCAGCCAAATTGCATGAGAAGGGAGTCATATTGGAGATAGAAGGTCTTCAGACAAACCAGTAGGTTTTTTGGTTATGGATAGAGACTCTCCTTTAGGTCTGCGGTGCCTTCCAGAGGTTTTCATGACTTTTATCATATTACCGTTGCAAACCTTGATCCTTATTAGGATTTTATATCATTTAGTATGACAAAAGTGGATGGAAAATGATTTATAGTTTTTGAGCATTTAAAGAGAAAAGCAGCAGGGTGTTCATGTCTGTACTAATATAATGTTGTGTTCTACATCAGGCTCAGATCACGTCTGTAAAGATCAGCTTATTACAAGGATTGAGATCTATCAACATGATTAAATCTAAACATTAGATTAAAGCTCTCTGTGTTTGTTTAGTTCAGTTTTCCAGCCGATAGATTAAGCTCCACCCTGGTCTAAACTCCTTTTCAGCTTCTAACACATCTTATTTGGATGTTTTCTTCACTTTGAACTACACTATTTGTTGCTCCCCTCCCATATTTTGTTTCATTTCGGTTTAGACTGGCCAGTCCTTTATCTTTTATTACTATAAACATCATTGTTTACTTTCTCTCAGCAGCAGCTTTTCTCTTGCATCTTCTACCCCCATTTCGATTGTGCATCTCTAATAGCTGTCCTGTCAGCTGATCTTTCTACCTGATCCGGCCATCTCTGCTGGTCCTTCATGGTTACCATGCCTCCTTTTTTAAATTATTGCTATCTTTGTCCAACCGTCTGGTTTAGGTGGAAGGCCTTGTTTTGGTTGATTTTAGTTTTTGCTAAATTCTAAGGGCTCTACTAAAGAGTCTAGGCCTTTAAATGACAGTTGGCCTACTACTCGTGTTATTTTTACAAACAGGTGGACCCCTTAGGTGGCTTTTGATGGTATATGATTGCACAGGATGTTTTTAGAGATGTTGGATTAAAGGCAGCAGACTAGACATGTAGGCCATTCTACTGTGTAAATGCATTACTTAAAGAAAAAAAAGTACAATGCATAAAAACAAGTATCCTATACTTTATTTTGGTCTATAAGATTCCAACAAGCTACATTAAATGTTGGGTTGAAAGGTGACAGATTTTGGAAGTTCATCAATATTTCTGCCTTAGATTAAGGTTTCAAAAGGTTGATTTAATTTTTTTGGAGGTGATAAACAACCATGTGTCAATATCAATCCAGGAAATACTCTTTGAACAAGTCTACCAGTTCATTCTGTGTGAAAAAGAATGTTAAAGAATCATGCTTTGAGGCTGAATCTATTAGTTTGGTCAAACATTGACTTCATAATTCCGTCCCTTAAACCAAGGAAAAAGATGTTAAAAAATAAGAATTTGCTTTCTTACCTCCACAGGTTCAAGAATGTTATGTTTGACATTTCTCCCACTGAGGAAGTTGGAGATTTTGAAGTGAAGGCCAAATTTATGGGTGTTGAAATGGAAAAGGTCCCACTTCATTTCCAGGTACTGTGAATATTTCTAACGTGTCTGAAATTAGTGAAAAGAAGAAGAAAAAAAGTCAATCCTTGACTGCAGTGACCGAAATGTCCTCTTCCTGTCTTTGGTTGACTGCAGGAAGTGTCCATTTTTTAATGAAATCTCCTTGTGAAAGAATAATCCTAAAGTTGTTTAAATGACTTATAAGTTGTTTGCTTTATGTCCAGGACCTTCTTCAGCTGCAATATGAGGGCGTGGCTGTCATGAAGATGTTTGATAAAGCCAAAGTAAACGTTAACTTACTCATCTTCCTTCTCAACAAAAAGTTTTATGGAAAATGAGCACGGAAGAGTGAGCAAGAGAACTACTGGGAGCAAACAAATAGTGCCTTTGGAGTTTTTGAACGGAATTATAAAACATCACCTGCTTTTAATTTAATGAATCTGAATCAATTGTCAACTTCCCGTGTCTGTTCAGTTTATTTTCTGTGTTGATTGTAAATGTAATGTACTTTTTAGAAATTAAATTGTGATGGAATTCATATTTTATATGTAAAAAAAACAAGAAAAAGAACCTTACATGTTGGAAAAAACTAAAATAGCCATTACTACAGCTTACCAGTGCCTTTTAGATATATAAAAATGTGTTTTAAATCAATATTAAAGCTACAGATTTATTTGAATGTTACTATTATTAGTATATAATTATCTGAAAATCTTTGACCAATGTACAAAATAAACTCCATGTTAAGACTGTTTTTCTCACCTCTGTTTGAGATTTAGATTTTTTAAGTTTATTAAAGCTGAGCTATTATAAGAATAAAGGCATTAAGATAAAATGAAATGTAGAGTTTATAACTGGCAGTCAGACAGAAATAAGGAAGGAAATGGAAAAAATATAAATTTCTGGAGAAAAAAAAACATTTGAAGCTGTCAGTTTCAGTGATCATTCATTTTCTCAGTAAAGAGGAGGTCCACAGGGCCGAGAGGCGGGGTGTGTCCTCAATGCTCAAATTTTCTGAATATCTGCAGACAAAAACAGCTCAGAAACTGAATTCTGACAAACCGATAATTTTAGTCCAGCCATCAATTATTGGAGGATCTACAGCAACAGGATGTTTCCTCAAGCTTTCAGCTTGCTTGTTTTTGCTTTAAGTCAAAGCTCAGTATACTGCACAGAAAATGGTGAGTACCTTTAAACTTCACAGAACATATGGACGTGTGCAAAGATGTTTTTTTGCCTATGTCTTGATTTATAAAAGGCAAACACTAGAAGACTGAATTTAAGAACTAATTGAATCGTATTGAGTTCACATTCAAATGCACTGGATTTTAATATCGGATATCTCCCTTCTGAACATTGTTTTTAATGGTGTTTTGATAAGGGGATAAGAACTACTTCATCTGAAACCAAAAATAAAATTTTTATGAAAGGTAATTTTAGTTTAATAGGTTATTAAAGTGCAAATGCAGTTTGGTTTAAATCAGCTCCTTACAAGTTAGTTTGAAAGAAATGGTTTTGGTAAGCTGCAAAAGGATGTTTTTGTAAATATAAGTCAATAAAATTACCCTTAAAAAAATGAAAGTTTCCATTCAGCTGTTGAGGGCCTGTAGGTAGATTAAATGCTAGAAAATTGCAGCACATTTTGGTTAATGATGTAACACAGATATGCATTCAGCTTTCTTTCTGGGAGTGAAAACATGGTGGAAAAACCTAGCATTTTTTTAATGCACTAGATGAGATATTATGCCAGCAATGTTTGCTTTGAAACATTAAAGCCTTTATAGTTGGACACCAGATGCTATTGAGGGTTATACATTTTTTTTTTTTTTTATCTTTGTGTCTTTCTTAAGGCTCTGTGTTGCTTCCTCTGACTTTCTCTGGTCGCTTCGTTCTGGTAACTGAAGAACCTGTGGACTACATTGACCTGTCCGCATTGGACAGCGATGACAATGGCTCAGGTTTTGAGGCCGAACAGAAAGTGGTGAAAAAACACGGCCACCACCAGCAAAAGCTCTACGTTGTCTCCGAGCAGGCAAAGGAGTTTCTCCAGGGTCGCCTTTCAACAAGCTTTGTCCCAACAGTTTACACCCTGGTCTTCATCATCAGCGTGCCTCTCAACCTTCTAGCCATGGTGATGTTTGTCCACCGCATCCAGCCAAGGAAGCCTGCAGTGATCTACATGCTGAACCTGGCCTGTGCTGACCTTCTGTTCAGTCTTTTCCTTCCATTTAAAATTGCATACCATTACCATGGCAACAATTGGATCTATGGGGCTTTCCTGTGCAGGATTGTCACAGCAGCTTTTCATTGCAACATGTACTGCTCAGTGCTGCTCGTCATGTGCATCAGCGTGGACCGTTTCCTTGCTGTGGTTTACCCCATGAACTCCCTGACATGGCGGAGCCCTCAGACTGCTGCAGCCATCTGTGCAGCCATGTGGCTCCTATCCCTGGGAGGAGTGTTCCCCCTCCTGCTCTCTGGACAGACGCTACATTTATCAGACCTTGGAATTACTACTTGTCATGATGTGCAGGCTGTAGAGACCCTACAATCTTATTATCTCTACTTCTTCCCCATATACTCTTCCATCTTCTTCTTCATACCTCTTGTCTTTACTATTGTCTGCTATGTTCGAATCATTCAGGCTTTAGCAGCAGCCAATGTGGAGAACCGCTCCAAGAAGACTCGGGCTATAGTGATGGCTGTGGTGGTGCTGCTTGTGTTTGTGGTCTGCTTCACTCCTACGAACATCATCCTGATGTTTCACTATGTTTATATTAGCCACTCATCCAGTGATCATTCCTACCAGGCCTACCTGTTGTCTTTGTGTATAGGCAGCCTCAGCTGCTGCCTGGATCCACTCCTGTACTATTATGGCTCCTCTCAGTGCCAGAAGCAGATGGCGGCAATTTTTAGGTGCAACCAACTTCCACCAGCAGAGAGCAGCTTGGACACACGCAGTACCCATAGGAGTGGATCAAGCAGCAGGTCCTGTAAGATGGAAAGGATGCATACTGTCCTTGGAAGCCAGTACAACAAGCTAGTGGCTTAGGCTAATACATGATAAGAGGCTGTCTCCTAAAGTAATGCAAACTTTCCCATAATGTCTCACAGAATAATTTTACCCCCTCTTAGGCTTTTCCACTTTTAACATGTTTTTCCACTAAATGTAATTTATTGTAATGGTTTTTCATAAAATACTCATGTTAGATGGTGCATGGTTTGGGAACAGGATGGAAAAGACTATGTGGCTTTCTCTTTGAAAGGACAAATAGCTGTAATGTAAAATGCATTTCTATTTGGCCTTCTTTTGAAAACCATAATTTTACTGCAATTAATGCTACAACTCTCAATTATAGAGCTCATAGACTTGCCATTTCTCATCTATGAGCTTCAGTCACATCCTATTCCTAGTCCAAAACTTCCATGTGATGTAGGTCATTGCAGCTCTTATACTGTAGCTGCAGCTCTTCTGGGAAAGCTGTCCACATGGTTAAACATGTTTGTGGGAATGTTTGTGCATTTGTCCTGTCAAAGACTGATGCAGCATATGAAGGCCTGGCTCTCAGTCTACTCTAATGCATCCAAATGGTTTTCATGTTGAAAGTCTGCAATCCCATCAACACCAAACTCTCATGACTTTTGGACCTTACTGAGAGCACAAGCGGAAAGTCATGTTTCTAAAGTCAGTAGGTCCTCTCTAAACTGGTTTGCTGAGGCAGATGTTCTTTTACCGGGACTAAGCATCCAAATATTTGGATATTTATTTGGATGGTTGAGAAACTACTGGCTTAATAATATAGTTATGTCTCTTAACAGTTTAATGTGAAAACACTGAAATTTTATTCATTCTTTGCAGAACAGCTCAAGCTACCTTAGAATGGATAAATTAAACTTTGTGTCAAATTTGACTCCAGCTTTAATCTTTTATCACCTCTTACATTTCCTCTGTCAGGGTTGACCTCTGTCTGCCTCCATCCATCCTCTCATTAATGTTTACTAGCTTCCGTCTTTAATGAAGAAAAGCCTCCCCACACAGTGCTGCCACCAACCTGTTCCACCATGGGGATGTTGTTTTTCCACACTGTGGATTGTATTTTTATTATTGTAGCAAACTGCAATATGGGACTATTCAGGCCAAAGTAGCAGCATAAATGATAGATGACAGAGCCTAAGCCTCTCTGCTTATTCTTTAAATCTCATCTTGTCTTGTCTTTCATTTGCCAATTCAGGCGTGGAGTTCCTAACCTTTAACAGTCTTGAATGTTGGATTGATCCCTGCAGTTCATAGAGAAGGTGTGCTCTATGAAAACAATACAAAAGGAGGACTCTAATAGGATTTTTAATGAAGGATATTGGCTGGATTATGCTTTGATTTGATATCAGTAAAGAGGAATGAACACACACTGCACCCTTTCATGGTTTATTTAACATAACATAAAATGGGAGGAAATTTGTGCCAGTAATGTGACAAAATGCAGAAAAGTAATGATAGTGCTTAGATTTGACCAAAACAAATCTTGCTTTTGGTTTTTGTTCGTGCACTGCACCCACCTTATAACTAAACCTTGAATGTATTCTCTTTTATACTCTTTCATTGAATCAGAAGAAGCATCCACATATTTAATCCAGCATATATTACAGATTTGTAGGTTAGATTCTAGTCCTAATCGGTTTAAAGACAAAATATTTCAATGAACGTTCTCAAAATATGTAAGCAAGATAAACCAAGCAAGCAAAAATCATTTGAATTATTAATTTAGCAGGTATTTTCTCACTGTCTAAACTGTATGATCAACATATGCAAAAACAATGTGCATGCTGTTTATTCATTCTTCACTTTTTATTTTTAAAATGATACTGACGCTTTAAAACAATATTTAGACTTAACCACACCAAAGTTTCTCTTCTGGGACAAATTTGCTGATTCATGGTTCAGGGGAAGTTGACACGACTTCATCATTTGTACATGACAGCTGGTCTAATGTGTGCCATCACAGAATAGAAATGTTCACCTTCAGATAAGTCATGGAAGCATGTTAAAGGAGTTCTTTTTAAACAGTTTGGAGTCTCCCAGTGGAAATCTGTAAAGAAAATGCTGGCTTCAGTCAAAGATAAAATTGTGCGTATGGTTTCAAGTGGCACATAAGGTTTCATTGACTATCTTTTATTGCTGCTCAGTCTTTTGTCTCTTTGTTGTTAGGACACAGTTCTGTAAAACATAAAGATAAATCCTGTGAGAAGATGCAAACAACTTTACCAAATAAACAATACAGTTAAGAATAAATTGTCTTGTATGAATTCTTGATTTTATGGTGTGAAATCTCCACCTGCTGGTGATTTCTGCTATTTCTGTTGCCTTGAGATGGCTGCTATAGTCACTGACCTGCTGTCGTGTCGTAGCTGTGGAAGTTCTCTGGAAAGTTCAGACATTTTGCTTGCTCCTTGAAATTTTCTACCACTTTGGGATTTAAATTTCCTGTCCTTGCTGGGGAAAAATGACTTGAATGTAATCGAAGAACTTCTAGATATTACTGAAATATGCAGATGACAGCAGTGCTTACTAAACTGCATGATGAATCTGCCAGTGACATCCATATTACGGAAAGTATCCATCCACAGCAGGCAGCCGGAGCAGGTCTGCAGGAGGTGTCCCTTGTGGTCCGACAAGTTTTCTATAAATGCAGGAAACCCTTTGATCATGAACAGTTGTTTTTATATGGAGATCCATTTAAATTAAATGTGTGTTTTTTCTTTTTCAGATAAAGAGGATTACTAGTGTTGCACATACTGCGAAATGTGGCCGTAAGCCCAGAGATGGTTGCATTTACTTTCCCAAAGATGCAGCGGTTACTGAAAAACAGATGGGAAAAGTTATGTAAGCTTTAAATCAACTCAATTCCACAAAAATCCAAACATTTTTAACACTGCAGCGGATTCCTGAAGGATTAATGCCTCAAAAAGATTTCACCTTTTTCATGCTACAAACACCAAATTGTATGTATTTTATTAGAATGTGATTTGTCAAAACAAAAGCACATCTTTAAAGTTTGGTTTGCAATGATACTGTCTTTAACTCGTGGAAGAAAATCCCTCTGGCAGACAAAGTCTTGTCTGCAGTTTGTCACAAGCTGTGTAGGAGAAACCCTAAACATGTGGAGAAGGTACTGTATAGTGGAGTCAGATGAGATCAAACCCTAAACCCTCATGTCTACTTGTAAAATTATTTGCATGTTAGAAATTACAATAAATGTCAAAAGCTGGTAATGGCAGCATAATGCTTTGGGGCGGCTTTCATTTTCCTGTGCAGGTAGCTAGTACAAGTTAACAGGGATAAGGAGCGAGCTAACAACAGGGCATAGCGGGGAGACAAAAAACAAAACAAAAAAACTGCTCCTAAATGAAGCTACAATGGCGTTGGCAGATGGCCGCTCACACTGAGCCTGGTTCTGCTGCAGGTTTCTTCCTGTCAAAAGGGAGTTTTTCCTCTCCACTGTCGTAACAAGCATGCTTAGTATGAGGGATTGCATTCGAGTCGATGAGTCGATGCAATCAACTGGTTTTCCTTAGATAGAAAACTGAATCAATTTGACTGTATAATCTGTTGAAATGTAAAGTGTCTTGAGATGAAATGTGTAGTGAATTGGCGCTATATAAATAAACTGAATTGAATTGAAAGGTTTAGATAAAAGTATATTCAATTTCAATTCAATTCAGTTGAAGAAACCTCCAGCAGAACCAGGCTCAGTGTAAGCGGCCATCTGCTGAGGCCGACTGGGGTATATGCATGTGTTTTAGTGGCGTGGTCAAAGTTCAAATCATAATCAGCAGCAAGATTGTTAACTGATGTTTGAAAATGATTTCATTTAAGATATAAAGCTGAAGGAAACATGCTACCCAAAACCTAGCTACCATACACAGTGGTTCAATATTACAGTGTTGAATAAAGACACTAATTTCTTTTAATATTCTTATCTATTAAGGAAAAAACTTTCACCTTTGTCTTCCACTTTATAATCATGCACTATTCTATCTTTGCCAATTACATAAAAATCCTGAAAATTAACATTAATGTTAACAGTTGTAATCTTGTAAAATGTTGTTTTTAAAAATGTTTTTGGGGTGTCAGTACTTTTAGAAGACACTTTATATAGTGGATGGACTCACAAGCAGTAGTCCCCCCATCTCAGGGTCACAGTTAGGTTGTCAGAAGTGGGCTGCAGCTCAATCCAGGAACTTTTCATGTATTCCAGTGCTTTGTGGTATGTCACTGGATCACCTGCTCCCATCACATAAATCCATTTTCCAAATAACTTAGATCAAAAGTGTATGAGAGAAAAAACGCAAACGTTAAATTGTTCTCCACTGCTGGGATACGTTTAGAAGTAAACCAAAGTAAGCAGGACCCACCTGATCAGGCTCCTCCGGCATGTAAGGTTGAACCAGCTCCTCACAGTCCGGTGCAGATGCTGCACTGAGGGAAGCGAGAGTCAGCAGAAACCCAACAACAGACAGAGCCATGGTCAGACAGCAGATGTTACTGATCCTCCAACAAAAAACCCTCTGGTACCCGGTCATTTTCTCCACTGGGCTTTTAGACTAAAAGAAGTTGTTGTGTAAGTGCTAAAAACGAGGGAGGAGGCGGGTGTTCTACACACTGAAATACTTATGCAAAGCCTTTCCAGGAACCATTAGGACACATGCAGATCTCTTTGGGAGCAGCTCTGAAAGACCTGATCAATGCTCCTCTGTTGCAAAAACTTTCCCTCCTGAATGAACTCCGGCAGAGTGCCACAACTTTTCAATCGTCCAAATAAAAGATCTGACTGAGCTTTACATCAGCAAAGGTTGCTTTTCTGTTGGGCACTTTTGTCTCTTCTGCTGCATGTTACCCAGCAACAGGCTCTGCATTTCATTAGAGCTGCATCAGTATTAATAAGAAGTAAACAACACAAATTATCAGTTTAAAAAGTTGAGAGACCATTTTGTAGAACAGAGAAATGAAAAAACTGCCTTTATTCATCATATACATCAATTAATCATACAAATAAAACTACATCAACATTAATGACATTTAACTGCCTTGGCTAAATTACAACGAATGGGTCTAATAGCCTATATCAATATGCAAATGTAATTTAGTGCATGTTAAACTGGATTTGTGAGGGGATGCTGGACTGCCCACTGAGTGGCCTCATCTCTGTGCTCTAATCCTCAGCTGGCTGATTCTCAGTTTCATCCTCCTTTGTTTTCTGACCAGCAGGTGATGTTTTCTCCCTGTCATCTGGACACAGATCTGAAATAAAAGATAATAATTACACCAATATAACTCTTTCCTCTGGTTCCCTTGGATTTTGATAAGACAAAAGAGTAACCTGTGTTTACGAAGTGATACTCTGGGAGAAATCCAAGACATTCTGCCTGCTTTTTGAAGGTTTCCAGCTCAAACGGCTGCAGAGCACCAGTTCGTGCTTTAAAGAGATGGATCATGTTAAAATGTTACCCAAACACAATGCATGTCCCTTCAATGATGCAACAAAGGGTAAAGGAAAAGTGTCTCACTGAAGAGAAACAGGTAACGGCCCTTTGATTCGCCATCAGGGAGGAGGGTGGTGTCCTCAGACAGGAGGCAGTCGCTGCATGTCTCATAATACTTTCCATCATGATAGGAAGTGTGACCATTGATTATGACTGTAAAATATGAGGAGACGTCTCAGTTCATGGTGCATTTGGGATGATTTGTCTGCATGCTACATCCACGCAGGACTGACTCAGGAAAACAATTCACGTATTATTTCAAAACACATACAAGCGGTGTGGCTTGTTATTCCTGATATAGTGATGTTTGCTGCACCCTGGAGACACTTGTCTTCATTACTGTGAAAGAACAGCAGTCAATATCAACCCTTTAATTCACAATGAAAACCACAGACCAGATCAATAACACTTTAAACGGTCATATAGGGCCATTAAAAATGAGCAGAGTCCTTACAGACGGTCGGCCCAGTACAGGGCGATGACCCCGCTGTCAGAGGTGGGGGACAGGTCTACCCAGGAGCTGTGAACCGACTGCAGGTCGGACTTCAGGCCGTGCTTGTCCCAGGAACCAACGTGGAGCACCCACTTTCCATAGATCTGAACATGAAATTACATGTCAAAAATGTTGAGTCATATTTTATTTATTGCTACAAAATTGTAATTACTTAAAATGTTGGATTTCTATTCCAAAGTTTTAACTGTTTGATTTCCTTATTACTGTATTATAAGATTTAATAACTTATTTATCTTATTTGATTGATTATTCATTGCACTGCTATTTTAATGTTGTAAAATAATTTAGTATTGCAGTGTTGCTTCTAGTCATTACGCCCCATGATTTTTTTTTACCTATTATTAGCAACAACACAAAAGGATTTACTTTTCACTTTTAAACATTTATTTAAAAGAAAAAGGAAGGATTCACATAAATCCATGAAAAAAAAAAAAAAAAAAAAAAAATATATATATATATATATATATATAAATATATATATATATATATATATATAAATATAATTTTTTTCATGGATTTATGTGAATCCTCTAATGTAAAGTTAGGATTTTTTCTTCCTTTTTCTTTTGATTAAATGTTTTAAAGTGAAGAGTAAATCCTTTTGTGTTGTTGCTAATAATAGGTAAAAGATCATGGGGCGTAATGACTAGAAGCAACACTGCAATACTAAATGATTTTACAAAATAATAAAAGGAGTGGTTAAGTTAAAAGTGTTGCTACTTATGTAAGAAATGCAAAATACCCATCAAGTAATAATTTTTTCTGTGGATAAAAAATTCTGATTACGTAATATACCTTTCCATGCGAAGAACTGTTAGTGAATAGAAAGGAAAAAATATGAGCCAATGCAAATGGATATAAAACAACAACTATAACAGGCTAAACAGCCAAGGATACTGTATAAAGCATTTGTTGACAGGAATATTGCTCCAACTATATATTTCAATGAAATATTTCTAGAGTCTGCTTATAATAGTAAACATAAAACACTATGTTCTATTACAATCTTCAGAAAGAACTACTGCAGCTTTTGGTTAATCATGTTAATCACTTTGTTAGCTATAATCAAAAACTTTAAGCAGGCCAAAAACCCTGCTGCCAAAACCATAAAACACTGAGTCCTGTTAGCAGAGATAACTGACTCTCTGCTTTATGCGAATTCCAGCAGACTTCTCACACTTGTCCTAATCTAACAAGCCACCACAGATGTACTCACAGGGCTGTGGCTGTCCAGCACCAGAGGCTTCACCAGCTCCTTGCAGTCCGGCTCAGCCGTAGCGCTCAGGGAGGTGAAAGCCAGGAGAGCAACAACCAGCTGTGCAGCCATGGTTGGAGACAGCAGGCAGCCGGAGAGCAACACTGATGTCAGGGATCCTGCTGCCAGCTACAGACCCTCAAAGGAACCGAGGGACGTCTTCTAACAGGGGGCTGGGCCACACACACAAGAGAGTTTTGCAATGATGCTCGCTCTCTCGCAAAATTAGATAAAATGTTATTTTTTCCCTCTGCAGATCCCTATGCACCAACGCTTCATCAAAACACCTGATTCCTGTTTGATTTTCTAAACAAAAATGAGAAATTATGTTCAGAACACACACAGTCACACAGCTGAATACACGTGTCTGGCCTCTCTTGGAAACTAGTGTTTAACTTCTCGCCTCCACTCAGCAGGAACTTGTGTCCTATTTAGCTTGTTACATAACAAGCAGCTGGCAAAGTGTGAATAGCAGGACCCCCACATGTCTCAGTATGTGAACAGAATGTCACACAAGGTCTCAGGGGCTTACAGAGAGAGGAAAACACATGGAAATTTCCCCCATGCTGTTCTCATTTCTTTTCGCAACAGAGAAAATCTTTAGAAGTTTTGTAAAAAGAAAACTTTGCCCTGCTTTCTCCTTTCCTATTGATAATTAACAGTATATTCTTTCAGCCTCTGAGGTTCTGTAATCTATACAGATTGAGTTCTTACCAACTAATATTGTTTAGCTACTCTCATTATTTACATACTATGTCCCACAGTTACAAAAGAGAACAACAGCTGATTTTCATAATGGACTATAAGAAAATCAATGATCTCTCATGATAGATAAACTTTACTCTGTAGAAAGAATCTCCCCAAACTAACTCAGTTTTCTAGTAAAGTTTCATCAAATGGGAGTAAGGGAAGCCATACATGCCTACAATAGAATAGAATACTGTAGGAAATCCCTTTATTGTCCCACAATGAGGATATTCTGGCATTTACAGCAGCAAAAAGGTTATAGAAAAAATTGTCACACAAGTGTGGACCTTAGAAAAATATATATAAGAATAACATATTGGTGAATAGATAAAAAAATACAATACTGTACTGTAAAGTGCTTTAACAACACAAAACTTTGCACCTAGAGAATAAAATAACCAATATACAGCATTTTTACAGTAATGGATGTATTTGAAACTAGCAGCAACATCAAAGATGTGCAAAAAGTTCAGTGAGTTCCTCCATGTCATGCATAGACATTAATATGAGGATAGGTTGGTCGGTCTGTAACATTACTGGGACAAAAAAAAAAAACTTCTTAGCATTTTTATCATTTTGATCCAAGATGTTTTCTTCATCTTATCGCTCTTTTTTTAACAGCCTGAAGGATCTGTCTTCAAATGTATATTGCAACCAAACTTTGACCCTATTTGTAAGCTAAATACTTTGTGAAACACCCACAGCCCATCGGGCTCTGTTTCATTATTAGTAGAAATGTCAGTTTTATTGCACCATCTTGCTGATTAATCCTAAATGAATTATTTGCCCAACTCATCTGATATAAACTGAATCTAAGTCCTTTGCTGCTACTTAGGGGATCAAAAAGAGATCAAAAAACAAAATAGTGAAGAGTAAAAATAAAATGATCAACAAATTTAATTATGCAACAATGCAAGAGTATTGCTGCAGGGACGATTGTTTTGAGCATCAGAGGAATGTAAAACACACAAAAAACAGGCCTGAAAAATGATTTTAAATATTGGAGTTTCAGACTGGACTTTAAAAGGACAGCAAAAATTAAAAGCATAAAATTTCTAAAATCTGATATAAAGTCAATAGAATGTCAGTTAATAGATTATCTTTTGTTTTTTCCTCTTTTCTATCAAACAAATAGCTGCTAAAAATCATTATCTTCTCTGCAAATCTGCTTATTTGCTTAAAAATAATTAACAGAAATATTTAATACCAAAAAAAAGACAAACAGAAAAGAGGAAATCCTCAATCATGGCTCGTAACAAAATATCAGTCAATATCTCAAATTTAGGTTTGCAAGACAAAACTATAGAGTTTAAAGCAAAACCCAAACTAAAACACCATTTTCCTTCATTAGAGAATTTAGAAAATTATTCCTTACTATCTACCGTATTTTACACTTCTAGATTTTACTTGTTTTTTATGTCAAAAATCCAACTTTTCCTAACTTGAATCTTCATTTATATAAAATAAACATTTTAAAATTTATAGAAAACTATTTGATTCACAGATGAAATTCCTGCATAGGTTTGCAAAGTCTATTGATGGATGGAAGAAAATATATCCGCTTATGATAATGATAACATTTATGTATCAGTAAGGTTAATTTTTGAACAACATTAAAGACAGAGCAGTGAATGGTTTGCAGCGGACTACATAGTTTATTTCCAAACAAGTACAACAAGTTATAGTTCATGGTGTTGACTAAGAAATCATATCTGAATGCTGATTAAGTCCAAAGAGTTCAGGAACAGCAGGTACAGGATGAAGATGATAATTTGCATTTCTTCTATTGTTCCTCAGTGTTTTCCTCTGTGGGAGCAGTGGTAGGTTCATTTTCTTCAGGACACAAGCCTAAAACAAAAAGGGAGACAAGTTGAATGATGCTGTATAGCAGACGCTGCAGACAAATAAAGACTGAGTCTTACCTGTGGTTTCCAGAAAATAGAGCTCAGGTAAGAGGTTGAGACACTTTGCCTGCTTATTGAAAACCTCGAGATCAGCAGGATCCAGTTTTCCAGTCTTTGCTGAGGTTTGTTAAAGGAAAAGGTGAACATTTTTTAAGTTAAAGAACTCATAAATCTGTCAGTTTTATTGTATATTAATTAAAAACAGAGATTAAAAAGAGGGAACTCACTGAAGATGTAGATATTTTTGCTTTTAGTAGTCTCCCCGTTCACCTCGGCCACTGCCTCGTCTGTCCACAGGATGCAGTCATCACACGTCTCCAAAAACCGCCCAATGTGCTCATATGTGGTGGAGTTGTAATAAACTAAACCAAACGGTACAAAAAAAAGTATCGTTGCTGTTTGAAAAATAGAGCTGCAGATTTAAAGCAGAAAGTTCTGATATCTACTTACAGATCACCTTTGTAGCGTTTCCTGTAGTGCTGCTATTAACGGTTCCACAAACACATTTTCCTTCACTGTCAATGAGAGTTAAGAAATTAGCACTTTGAAATGTTCATAGAATTTTAAACATGCATCCAAAAGGACATAAGGGTAATTTCCCAATGACTTTACATTTTGTCAATGTAGGCCATACTGAATTCCTCTGTATCAGGTATTGAAGAGAGTTTAATCCAGGAGCTGTTCACAATTTTCTTTGCCTTCAGGTTCTTTTCACTGTCTGATGCTCCTGCATGTAATACCCATTTTCCATAAATCTGTCAAGGTAAAAAAAACAACAAAAAAACATTATTTTCACTTCAAAAAAAGAACGAAATGTCATTTTTTGTCTCTGCATGATCAAATAAAACTCCAGCATAATATAATTAATACATTTTTGACTCTGTTTTTCAATGTATCAGTGGATTTCAGAGCACAGCCCTACTTACCTTGCTTCGGTCCTCCAGAGGTTTAATCAGTTCCTCGCAGCCTTGATCAGATGCAGCAGCTAGAGAGCACAGAGCCAGCAAAGTGAAGCAAAACTTAGCAAACATGATGAGAAGGTTAATAGAAGTGAAGTGGAGGCTGCTGGGAGGACGGGACAACTGAGCTCTCTCAGCAAAGCCTTGATAAAGACTAGGGGACAATATGTCACGTAACAGAAAGTGGGATGTGGGCGGGCTGTGTTTAAAAGGCAAAATGTGATATAATCATGTAAACTTTACACCAGAGACCAAATCAATGTAGGTATTTATGTTCCCTTCTTCATATTGACGTCTTCTGATTTATTCTTGCCAATATAACATAGTACCATGTTAATATTCCTGCAAAGCTTTATATGACCTTTCTGTAAAGGTACCAATCTAAAAACTTTATAAACCAATATCCAATGCATAATCTTAAACAGTTTCGCCAACTGTGTTCTGTCTGTCAGTTGCTTTGAACTGGCTGCAATGCAAAGACAGCTATTTTCTGGTATATGTCTCAAAAACAAATCCTTAATCTTCTGTGTAGCAATCCCCCACACTGCGCATACATACTGTAGGGTGACAGTGGAGGGGACAAACTCCCTTATAACAGGAAGAAACCTCCATCAGAAAAAAACAGAAAACCAGGTCAGATGAGGCTACTATGTTAAGAAAAAGCAGAAAGAATATTAATTTAAAAAATGAACTCTCAAATATTGCAGAATTGAAGCGTAGAAGCAGAAATAAGTAAAATTGTGAAAAGCGTACCCTGTGTCCTCCAGCAGTCTAAGCCTATAGCAGTATAACTATATAGACCTAAGGATAGCCTAAGGCACTCTGACTATTAGCTGTATCAAGAACTAAAAATAGTAGTTGGTTCCACAGGAGAGGAGCCTTTTAACTTAACAACCCAGCAAAAGAAAAAAAAAAAATAATTTTTTTATATCTAAACAGAACACAGTACCATTTTATCAGTAATCTTAGCATTTTATGCTAAGATTATAGCGATTGCAATATCTTTCTTGAATAAAATGTAACTTATCTTTTGCTTACAGTATATGTTATGTATAAAGTGCAGTTACATATGTTTGTGATAAATACAAATAAACAGTAGATGAAGCCCTTAAAATCTAAATAAACATTTTAATGTTCCTGGCTTCTAAGTTGATACCAAAGCAACAGTAAAATTCTGGTCAACAAACTTAGAGGAAGATAGCCTCCTCTTGTTTGCTAAAGTTTTTTTTTTTTTTTTTACTCTCTGAATATATCCACCCCCTGATGGGTGAATATAATGGTTCAAATATGTGGAGTAAAACCTAACTGCTCTCTGTTTGGGTTGGTAAATCTGTGATTGACAAGACAATCGCCCAATCAGCTGCATTCAAGAAACATCATTCTCTATTTGTGAACTAAAATACAAAGAAGCTTTACAAAGATTTATGCATATCTTTAAACATACCTTAAAAAAGTATTTTATGTACCTAGTTTTGTATTGTGTTTCATAATGCTGAAATTTTAATAAAAAAAAATAGGTTTTAATTTCAATTAGTTTTTCCTGATTAAATAAAGGAAACTAAGGATTTTTTATGGAAACACAGCATTTTTTTACACACCTCTATTCTAAGCACAAAGATTTGAAACATTTTGCTTTGCAATGTGGAAACATTTATTAACAAATATATGAGTGGAATCTATGCTTTTACAAAATCAATAGGACACAGTTTTTGTTTTAGTGAAAAAAAACAATAATAAAAGAATTTATCATCATTATTTTAAAAACAGATTAAACTATTGGGATTGAGCATTTG